AGGTGAGGGGATCTTCTTAAGCCCTCTCTCAAGTAAGTTTTCTATAACTCGGGAGCAAAAAGTCTAGAATTCAAATGTTGCTAATCTCGCTTTGTTGGTGCTTTTATTCATCATTCAACTATTAATGGTTATAAGATGGGGAAAAGATTCGTAAGCTCCCGAATGTCATGTACAATATTTGACAAAATAAATTAAATTTTACTAAAGAAAGAGTTGCTTTGGATTAGTTCATTGTTTGGTTTTAAAAATCAGTTTTTTAATGTTGGATCATCATATGTATTAGTTAACAGAAAATTTCGAGTACATTTTGATAAAGGTTTGTTCTTGAAAATTTACATCAAATTTTTAGAAAACTCTAACATAATACTTAAAGATTTGAAATAGTGCTGATAAAAATAGTTTTGGTAGCCATCTGATTACAGAAAATACAGACTAAATTTAAAAAATTAAAATAAAAATGTGTGAAAGAAATAAAATTGAGAAACTCATTGGTTGCCTTTTTCATTGAGTGGCGGCTTGGGTTGACCAGAAGTTGGCAGTGCCTTTGGTTCCTTGACTCCTTCCTTCACCTGCATAGAACACATACATACATACATATAACCACCAAATGATTTTTGAGATAATTATTTATATAAAATGAGTAGGTAATTATGCGTAGGACAGCCTCAGTGATGTTTTATGTTAACGCGAGGCCTGAAGGCTCGAGCCTTGTCCTCAACTTGGACTTGTGTGGCAAAGCGTCACAATTCCCCATGCATGGACCGGGACTTTGCCACATGTTCCGTGTAAATCTTGATAAGTTTTTCCCTTTCAATATTAAAATTACTTCGCAATTTTTAAAAAATTGTTAAAATTTAGTATACAGTACACCCTTAGAGAAACGTGGCAGTGATGTTTAAGCCCTAATTACTGCACGAGCTCTAATAGAAATTACTCTAATAAAGCTTACAGATATGCGATTATTATGATTAACCCTTCATATGCTTTGTCCCCGCCGCATTGTAACAACAATTTACTTTCAAAAGCAAGTTTTCTTGCTTCGCTCGTCCAAGTCATGGCGAGGCTTGGGCCTTCGGCCCCTCGCGTTCACTGTAAACATTCTTAAGTCTATCCAACGCATAATTACCAATTCACTTTTATAAGACATCACTTTTCAAGAAAGCCTCTAGAATTCTAACTGCCTAATTAACGCCGGAATGGAGCGATGTGCCGGTTTAAACAACTTCCTTAGGTTGTACTGCATACTACATTTCAGCCAAAATTGGTTAATGGATGTGAACCCTGCTGAAGCTAATGTAGAAGGGAAATGTATTTAGGGTGTTTGTTGGAAGTCTTATGTTCAGTTGTGTTGGACTGAAACTAGGTAATCTGTTATCACTGGATGTGTCCCACATTCAATTATCATATTAGGGAAATGGTAGTATTTAATTTTCTAGTATTTACTTACGATATACTGATTTCATTTATTAGATGTAATGCTTGGTGACAAGATTCACGGTATTTATAAAGCTTTTTGAAAAAGTGGCTTATATATTTTGGTAATAAATATTCTGAGTTTTGTGAAAGCTTATCGTTGCACCTTTGGAGCTGTTATTGAGAAAATATAGATAAAAATTCGAAGTGAAAAATAGCTTGCCACCATCTGTGATTTTGTAAGTGTTTGAACAATTTGAAATACTGTGTTGTGATGGCAGTAAAATGGAACATTGATTTATCAATAGTTATTAAATTTCTTTGTACTTTGCAGGAGGAAAATAAAAAATAATATTTTTTCAAATTTTTTATTAAAGCTAATTGCATTTTGGTCAATAAATAGCATTTAGGCATTTATATTAAGCATTTACAGGCACTATAAAATTTGCATGGAATGCTCCTAATGTCTCAAAATGAATAAGAAATACAAAAGATTGTGTTTTCCATTGAAGGATGAAAGTAGGCAAAAATCCTCATCTTAATAATGATAAAGAATTAAACAAATCAGTGAACAGTCTCTTCAACCAACATTTTTCGAGAGTTGTGTTTGATCTCTCGAAAGATCTAATACCACAAAATTCAACAGTAGACATTTTCCCAGAAATTTTTCATAGTTTTTATTTTTGAAAGTTCTTCCTTTGAAATTCTCAAAATAATGGGTAAACTTAAAAAGAAATATTCCGCAGGTTTAGTTGAATTTCAGGACTATTTACTAAAAACTTGTGCTCCTGCTACATCTGTTACCTCGCGTATAAAACATTCTTAGGCACCAGAACATTTCAAGATTTTCAAAACAGCTAAGATTAAGCAGCTCTTCAAGGAAAACAACAAACATAAAATTCAGAATTATCAGCCTATTTCTCTTTTGTCAATTTTTTCAAATGTATGAGTGGGAATCTTTCTCAATAAATACAAAACATTGCCAGATTTCGAACATGGATCTAGAAATAGCCACATTTTCTTTTTGTAAATGTCACTTCATCGATGGATCAAAATGAAGCACCTAACATGGTATTTTTTGATCTCCAAAAGCATTTGGCATAATTGATCAAAATTTTTTACTTTCAAAATCGCGTTCTTGTGGAATTTGTGGTGTTGCTGTAGATTAGTTATGTTTTTGCCTTAGACAATGGTCTCAGAGTGTAGAAATACCATACTGGAATAAAGGGACATTATTTACTCACCTTTCCAATGCATTGCCTATTGCACATGGGGTCCCACAGGGTTCAATTTTAGGCCCTATTCTCTTTCTATACATAAACAATAAATGCCTCTGTGATTTGAGATAAAAGAATAGTTCTCTTTTCTGATAATTTGAATATTCTTTGCAATGAAGAACCTGTAACTAGTACAATATCAGGGGTTTCAAATAACAAATTAATAGTAAATGTAAATGATGGAGTGAGGACAGACATCCCAGAACTCCAGTAACTGTGCACATATTGCACTTCCCCCCATGATACGTTACACAGGTTTGTCTGTTTTTGTTGTTAAAGAATAAATTGAAGTAAGTGTAAAACTAGTTTGGAAATAGTTGATTTAAATCTTTTGGGTTGTCATAAAATATTATTTAAAAATTATTCCATACATTTCAGACTTGTTATTTGTAAAATAATTTTTGCTTTATTCTTAACAACTCAAAAGTTTTAATAGACCATGTCTTAAAGCTTTAATTTTGGCCGTAGCATAACTTAACAAAAATGATATCATATGTTTAGAAAGTGATTTTTGTATTGTATGAGGCTATTATACACTCCTTTTAAGCTTCACAATTAGAATATTTTAGGATCTGGTGGAGATCTTTAATTAGCTTAAACCTGGTAAATTTCAGTGTGAATGAATTTTGTGTATGGTTTTTGTTTCAGCGGAATATCTGGAGAAGGTGAAACAGAGCAAAACCCATGGAGCGGCAATAAAAGTTTTGGACATTGGATGTGGGAAGGGTGGTGATCTGTTCAAATGGAAACGTGGCAGTATTACTCACCTGATTTGTGCTGATTTAGCAGAGACCTCTGTTGAACAATGTAAAAATAGATACAATGATCTGCGATCAAGGAGCGAACGAGAGAGAGGATATGCTCCATTATTTTCTGCAGAATTTATCGCTGCGGATTGTACAAAGGTATAATATATGTTAATGAAATTTCTGTCATCATTTAATGTGATAAGTATGTAATCCAAAATTCATTGTTTTTGATGTTAGGTTCGCCTGAGAGAACGTTACAAAGATCCATCTATTGCCCTAGATTTAGTAAGCTGCCAGTTTGCATTTCACTACTGCTTTGAAAGTTACTTGCAGGCGGAATGTATGTTAAGAAATGCATCTGAATGTTTACGACCAGGAGGTTTCTTTATTGGAACGATACCAGATGCCAATGAAATAATGTTAGTGTGGATTTTAGAATAAATGTAGTTGGTAAAATTACAGTTGATGTTTGAGAACATATTTTATTTTCTTTTTCTTTTTAGGAGCAGATTACAAAAGAACGGAGGGAAAAAATTTGAAAATGACATATATAAAATCGAATTTTATGACGAAACAGTGCCACCTCATCTTTTTGGTGCCAAATATAACTTTCATCTTGAAGGTGTTGTAGACTGCCCCGAATTTCTGGTTCATTTCCCAACCCTTGTGAAGTGAGTAAATTATAGATTGATTAACAATGTCAGTCTGATGTTAATGAATTCTTTTTGTTAATGTTCAGCAGTTATTTGGATTCTATAAACTGTTAATGTCCTTTTAATCTCCTTTCTCTAGTACATTTGAGTAAGAGTACAAAATGACTCACACTTTCTTGCAATATTTGCAACCTTCATAAAGTTCTAAAAATTTTATTGGGACTAACTACTTTTATCCATCTCTTGCATATCTCTTTCCACCATACTGCTTCATCGACATCACATTATGTCTATCTTCAAACATCTAAGAATCATTTCAAAAAGAAAATAAACTTTTTTCCCAAATCTGTGAACAAAAGCCTATTTATCAAAAGGCAACTACCAGTGGCATTTCATGGTACACTTAGCAGGGGTTGCAGAGATATTCCATACAAATTCATGTACTCAAATAGAACTCGCAAACCAATGTTCATTGAATCTCAATGGAATATTTTTGAATTCCAGCAAGTCTGTATCTTTCAATAAAATGAGAGGTACATGAAAATAACTTGATAAAGAATAAGTTTAAAAATAAATCAAAAGTAAACAATTTCCAAAATGAAATGATATTGGTTTTGTTAATTCATTTATAAGTTACTTCATAAGTTTAAAAATAAAAGTATACTACTAAAATTAAATTATTTTGGTGGTTCATTTCTAAATAGGAAGGAGGGAAAACAATCTTGTTTACAAAATGCCAAGTATCTAGTGCAAGTTTTCTTTCTAGTTATTTCTGTAACTTCAGAACTTCCTCAAGGTTAATTTTTATTCTTAGTTTATGCAAATACCTGCAGTACCTGATTGCAGTTTCTTATTGTTTGCTGATGACTTTAATAAACTTTTATTGGTCACATTCGTCTTTAACTCCTGAAATGTCAAACAATGAAATCTTACATCACAAAGCAACTTTACGTGTTTCGTTATGCATTGTATGTGTGGTTGGGTGCTCTTATTGCTATTTGTTTCTTGCTACTGTTGTGATCTGATGCAAGAACGACTGCAAGACCATGTGTCTGCCACCCGAGTAAGTGGCAACATCGCTCTGCCCTCACCTCAGCTGTTGAAAAGAAATATTATTCAAACGATAATAGTTCAATTAAAAATTGTCTTATAGTATATCTCAGAAGACTAAACCTTTTGTTAAATACTGTTATTGGAATATTTGACAAAGAATTGGAGCTTGGTTTGAGAAAATTTTGCTTATTTGAACTCTACTGCATATGTTTTCTTGTGCACTGATGTGTTACTTCACTTGTTGCTTGCCTTGTTTACCCAGATTATGCCTTTGAGAGTGTTCTGTACTCACTAAAATGCTTGCCTACCCTTGGATTTGATTACATCGGGTATGTTTCTGTATTCACAGCCACAAATGTTGGGGCAGTTCAAAGTTCCAGATGCATTCGTAAAAAAAATTCATATCTTTAATAGTTTAATATTCAAAAAAATTGTATTGGAAATGCCATAGCCATAGAATTTAATACGTTGTGATCCATTTTTACAAAGTTTAAAGAAAACATTAGCAGTCTTTTCTGTGAAAATCTTGTTTAATTATTTGTGGAAAATTGCTACTTCACTGAGAACTATCCATTTACACGTACATTTTGCTTTTGTGATTGGAAGGGAGATAAGATTATGGCAGAACAAGTAAAGCTTTTCTATACCAATTAATTAGACTTCCTTTTTGTGTATAAAAAGGTTTTCAAACCTACACACTGTTGTTTGTTTGAATCATAAATGTTTTGTCCAAATACTCATACTTGTATATAGCCCCTTTAATAATTAAATTTGAATTGGATTTATTTGCATTAATAGATCCGTCTTGAAATATTTTATTATTTCAGACTTTCAGAAATCCTTTCAAATTTGGTGCTTTTTAATCAGCATGATAGTTACATCTGTTTTTGTTTTTTGTATTAATTCTGTGTACAATGTGTTTAAATTAATTTGACAGGGACCCCAATGGCCATAGGGCCCTTAATTCTCAATCAATCAGGAAATATCTTATTTTGGAGAAAATCCTGTGTGGGGTTTAAGTGCTAGTGTTGTTAACAGACAGACGCTTTGAGATATTTTTCAGTTATGAGGGATTACCAAAATGCATAGAATCTGGTGATTTGATGGTGTGTTGTGGAGATGGTAATTTTTGCAGCATTTTGTAACTTTCTCTGTTGTACTAAATATATACATTAATTAACAGTAAATTAGGTAAAATTACTTTTTTATATTTTCCATTATACTAAATGGTAGCAAATGTAATTCAGATTTTCATTGTGATAATTGTTGATAAATTCTGAATAGTATTCATCATGATATTCATTTTTAATGAAAAAATGTTTTTATTGCAGATTAGCGGAGAAGTTTGATCTTCAGTTAGTGTTTAAGGAAAGATTTCAGGATTACTTTGCTCGACAGAAGGAAGAAGGAAGGTCATTGCTTGGGAAGATGCAAGCATTGGAGGTAAGAATAGAGAGTAAAAAAATCATTGTGCTCCTATCAGTATGTTTTAACCAGCTTTATAGTGTTGACCAAGGAGCATAACCTTATCCAGTGTATCAAATGAGTTTCCCTCAATGTAATTTCTTGGCTGATCAAAGGGATTCTGTACAATTTATGGGCTATTGTACCCAATAGTTCAAAAGCTTTTGTGAAATATGCAGGGTTTCCAGGGAGGAAAACTGAAACTTCAAAAATAAGCTCTTTAGACAATTTTAAGTATATTGTGGATAATAAACAATTAGAAATGGATGCGCCACTAAGAATTCAAAAGTTTGTTTGAAAACAAATTTTCTAGGCAAAATTTGCATTACAGAAGCATGAAAACACTCCCGAAGCATGTAAATTAATTATTATTTACAAAAGAAATTAATATATTTATTCAGAAAGAAAAATTAACCTAGAAATAAAAAAGCACCCAATTTGAGTGCTTTTTTATTTCTTGTTTAATTTTTCTTTCTGAACAAATGTATTCATTTCTTTTGAACATGGTTTAATTTACATGGTTCTGGAATGTTTCCATGCTTCTGTAATGCAAGTTTTTGCCTAGAAAATTTTCTTACCTTCCAGTTACCTTACCAGAAAATTAGGGTGCTGGTTATATTCAAGAAACTACAGTAACTTATCACAGATCGATACTCATTGACACTTGCGCTTGTTTCATTCTATACTTTTCGGAAAGAATACAATTGTCTAACCAAGCAAAGAAGCAAGTTTTGCTTCTATTTTTGGTGTAGACTGTACAACAATAGATATCGTACCACTTCTGGAGGAAAAGGATATCTTTTAAGATTGTGACACTGTAGTATCTTCATAGTAATGAAACAATCAGGCCAAACCAACACCAAGTTCAGAAAACCGTAGTTTTACAAATAAATTAATATGGGTGTTAAAGTGACACCTCCCGCTGTTCTAGCGATATCACATGATTAAAAAAGAAAATAATATTTTATAGATTCCAAATACATCATCGTAAAGAAAATAAAAAGTAAGGAAATGTCACAATGTTTGAAAGAAATCGCTTAAAACTGAAACAACTGATGTAGGTGACATTTTGACCCATGACACAGTCCTAGTGCTGATTACCAACTTTTTTATTGAACAATATTTCAGAAGTTTTTGAAATAACTATAATTTTCTTACAGACATATCCTCCATTTTTGAAAGTGCCGCTTTTGGGTCGTGATCCAGAAGATTATGAACATGTGCAACAGTACCTACAAACTCCTGCAGGCCATAGGAAAGTAGGCACTCTCTCAAAACCAGAATGGGAAGCTGCTTGTAAGTAATTATTTTGTTGAGTATAGGAACATTCATGCTAATTTAATCAATACTCATTACATGCCCTTTACACTGCACAAAATTATGGCAGAGATTGTGTTAATGAACCATCTTCACCTTGAATGAGAAACAGGGTCTTTTAGATTCGTGGATTTTTCACATTGAATTAAAATTCTATGAGAATAAAATCTACAATTTTGAATGTTATTTATTTCAGTATTTATGTATTGATTAAAGAAAAGCAGAAACAAACATATCAGTTCATAATAATTTTTAAATACATTATCTGCATTCAAACACCATGTGTAATAGTTCTTTGCAAAAAATTTTAAGACATAGTTTCTCATGAAGTCGTAGGCTACCGCAGCCGGAGTCATGTGGGTGATCTGGGCTGTCTGGGTGACGCCGCGTCGAAGGCTGAGTTGCCGACATTTCGACCATCCTGTCGTGGTCTTCCTCATACCAGCCCTGAGGAAGACCACGACAGGATGGTCCAAACGTCGGCGACTCAGCCTTTGACGCGGCGTCACCCGGACAGCCCAGATCACCCACATAGTTTCTCATGACCATTTTCATTTTATGAATAAATAATATCATTTAAAAAGCTTATCTACAGTTAAATTCACAAACACAATATATTTTTATTTCATATTTTATCATTTTGCTTCTGCATCTGCACAACAAAAGGAGTACTTGCCATGAAAGTTCACAAGTTCATCTACAGCGACGTTCGTGCCAGGCAACGCGTTCCAACATTTTGTTGTAAAGAGTGCTCGCTTGTCTGTTTGCAGCATTTGTTACTGTGGTTCTCATCGTATCACTCCGATTCTCAAAATGTTCAGAATTGTCAACTTCAGAAGTTGATTATTTCTCACATTCATGAGTCGCAACATTCCAAGTCTTATTTATTACTATGCAGAGTGCAGTAAAATTTCACTTATACATTTTTCAGGGGACTGAAGGGAAAAAATGTATAAGTGAGAAAAACACATAAATGACATGGCGACCAAAGGGCCTTTGGAGTATGGAACAGTCAGCGCACAAACTTCACTTATTGGTCACCTACGTCAGTACTCTCTCTAGGGGATTCCTTTGACCTTCCCTCCGAGCTATCCATCGCCTCCTGAGATCTTCTAACAGCTCCTGTACACACCCGACTGAAATAATGTTAATGTGAAAGTTCCACTGCCAAAGGCAGCCCGGAAGACGTCTTTATGCAACCACTCTGCGAGTTTGCACCATCTTGGCCTCTCATCTAGGTCGAGTTTAGATTCTAAATTAAAAGTTTCATTAGGAGCAAGTCACCTCAGAGGCCAAGCAACAGGTCGCTCCGCGGGAACACTTGAGCCTGCCGTCTTGAGTAATATACTTTCAGGCTCCAGCGCAGGTCACCCCAAGCCTCACCGGGATCATTTGAATGTTAAATGGTCTTAAAGGGACTTTTATTATGAATGTATAAGTGTGAAAAACATATAAACATAGAATGCATAATTGAAATAATTTAGCATGGGAATTACAGGAATTTATCCCGGATCTATTAAAAAGAAACGTACAAAAGTGAGAAACGTTTAAATGGAGTTTCACTGTAATTACATATATGAACACAACAAACTTTTCGACTGTCAAATTATTCTACTATATTTTTCTAGTCACTTTCAGCTTCTTCGTCCTTCATTTGTCTAATCAGTTGAACATGTTTAAATGAATCTAATTTGTTTTAGAATATTTCTATTTTTAGTTACTATTTCACTCGTGAATTTGAAATCAAGAGTCTTTAACTGTATAGAAAATGTCCTAATCACGGTGTGGTATATCTCAAAAACTTCATTGGATTCTTCTATCCAATTTTTCTTCCTGCTCCTTCCTATAGGCCAATAATAGCTGTGATTAATTATCTTAAGAGGCAGTATGAATTGATCGCTGTGTTGATGTGCAATAAACTGGGTATATACTAACTATAACATAACCTCATTGATTTTAACATAGCTTTCTGTTATTTTCAACATTTGATGCATTTTCAAACTCTGTTGGACATAATTTCATTCATGGGATAGTCCAATTAAATACCACTCGTGCTGTGGAAGATCTCTGATATATCAACCAATTCCAAAGTACTCGTATTGCCAGTAATAAATTTTGTATCTATTTTGAATGTGAAGTTATTTATTGTGTGCTAAGACTTAATGATATTTTTGTTTTTTTTATGTTACACACTAAGTTTTTAATAAACATTTTATTTCAATCTTTTTCAGCCCTGTACGTGATATTTGCATTTGAAAAGAAGGCAAAACAGAAGTGATCATGATAATCAAATGAACTCATTAGAATTGTGGGAGGAGAAGAATTTCAAGAAACATGAATCTTAAATGATAATAGTGATAAATTAAACTTTTTGATGAGATTGTAAAAAGAATGTGGTAATAATGTGACATGAGTGAGATGGGTTGTCTACTTAATGAAGATCTTGAATCTTTGAAGTACTGATAGATCAGTATTACAAAGAAAAGAATGCAAGATGTAGATAATTATATCCATATTTTTATAATTAGTTTCAAGTTATTTATTTTGATTTGATTTTGTTATCTTATCACTGCCAATTCATGTGTATTTTCTGTGAAGTATATTTCTGTACAGCCATTTGCAAAAAATGAAAAATTGTCATATATGTTGTTTTTGTCTATTGATGTTGATTGTAACATATTCTATTTCAATATTGAAAACACTTCTGAAATAATTTGTTTTGAGAATTAAGGTTTATAACAGGGTTAGTTTGTATTTTATTGTGGTGATTTTTGCTAATACATTGCCATTATGAATAATTCAGTAATGTACATATATATATTTTTCCTTATCCTTATTATCAGTCTAAATTGTTATTCTATTACTACAAAGCTAGCTATTTCTGACACAGAAACCTAAATCTACTCTTCCATGTTTTTAATTAGCCTCCTCGGGCTCGGGCTCAAGGGTTGGTACTTAATGTTTTAAATTCGAGTTTTTCAGTTTTTTTTTCTTTCTTTCTTTCAAGGCAAGGGCATATCTATTGCATTGTAATCCGTTTCTGCATAAAATACTTATTCAATTCCAAAAAACTACGTAACCTATAAGTTACATCGAATCTCATGTTTTGATATTAATAAACATTGTAAGTGGAACGTACTTCCCCAAAAAATTATTTCTTAAAATACACCAAGAATTAACCAAGACTTACATTTGTAAAATATAAATATATACCCAACTTTCAAAAGTAATTATTTTTCTTCATAAAGTTTTTAAAAAATCTAAATCTGTTGAGACATGGAAATGCTTTTCATGACGAACAAATGAAATGACATTTGTGGTAAACAGCGAGACATCTTTACATTGTTTGATATTTCGGGAAAACAATTCGCTTGGCTTCTATGTAGTTTGTCATCACATAAAACAGTTATATTTTATTCTTGGAAACATTCTGCCAATATATTTTGCGGCGGCGATTGTGTATTGGACTGTTATACCCAGGTTCGTGGGTTCAAACCTGATCGATGCCATGGATTTGAAGGGAGAAAAAATCCTTCAGAGGGGAAGAAAAGCTATCTGTTGCATGTTAATAGATTAACTGTATGTAAAAGATTCTCAAGCCTAAATGAAGCCTCTGAGCTAAATTCTAAATCGTCTGTTTCATTGCCTAAGAAATACTTCTCTTCTTTGTCCCTCCTTTCTCCTTCCTCTGTCCTCCTGAAGAAGCATAGTGATATTTGCGTGGTCAGACAGAAGAGCAGCCCTCGTGACCTGAGTCCCGCCATGTAAAATTAGTCATCAATTCAATTCAAATATATTATTTCCCTCATTTTCGTCTTCTGACTCTGGAACTGAATTCAAATGTGCACGTGCTACTGTTACTCAAAATTCCAAAAGTTGAGTTTATCACACAACAATTTCATTTCCCACATATCTGAGAAATTTGGACGAAGAACATAACATATCTGTAAGAAGAACTGGTTCTGGAGAAGATGCCAGAGGAAGAAGTTCAAAAAATTGTGTTGACTGCCAAATGCTTTGATAATGCAAGGGTTTATCGTTTTCCGAGAGACCCGATTTCTTTACTACACTGAGGAAAAGGCATGAAAGGATTAGTGCAAGTCCTCATTGTTATCGTCTGTGAAGTCGGATATATTGGTCTTATTGTTGATGAGATGTAAATATTCACCCATAAAATTGTGATTGACCTGCCTGTTCAAAATATCCACAAAAATTGAGACCCATTGATTTCTAGAGGTCATTACAAACAAATACCTCATTTGGCCAAATAATGAAAATAAAAAAAATAAACTATGTATAATAGTTTAAATGTTTCCCTAAAATTAGATTAACTTGTAAAATAACAGAATAATTAGAATATTTACATATTTATTTTTTGAGTAACAGCATCCTTTCCTTTGTGACTTTGTTACCAAGACAATGTTACTTGCGTTGTGCTGTGTTAGGTTCTTAATTATCTGTCATGTGTTTTGCCTTCCGTCACCAAGTCCTCAACTGGCCAAAAATACTTTTTAACTCTTTACCATTTTTAAACTCTGGATGTGAAATACCATTTGCACACACCTGCTTCATGTACCGTTTTCAGATTCATCTATGTACAACAGTCGAGGAGATTAAATTTGTTCACTATATGTTGACACTTGTTAATATGTTAACGTAATGTTTTTCTGTAATAAATTGAACATGAGCTTTTAAATATGTGTGTAGAAGCATTCAGCAGAAAGAATTGTTTAAGAATTAAGCGAGTTTATGAGTAGCTCCCTTGTACATTATTGAATGAAGTGAAATTATCATAAGATAATTATTTTAATTCCAGATTACATCTCGGTACTTTTTATTAATACTACTTTGTAGTAGTATTTGTGTTCCTAAAGTGTCATACAAGTATTAAGTCATAAAGTGGTTTCAGGCTTGTTAGCAGATTTATACAACCAGTTTTTATTCTTTCCAGTGATCCTTTGATTCATTCACTGAATATTATTATAATAGGTTAGTTATAAAAATGAAATATGTCTGCTCGTTTTAGAAATTTTGATTTCTAAAAGGTTTGTGTAATATCACAGGTTTATAATACAAGAAATATTTTAATATGAGATGGAGAACTTAGAATTTAATTTGAGATGAAAAAGAATTTAAATCTAGTTTTGAGGCATGTTGTTGATGTATTGAGCTTACTTTTTATGGATACTATATAAAAAGACTCAAAAAGAGTCTAGTGACAGTTGTAGAAAAGTCACATTTTATATTGGTAAAAAATTTGTTGTCTATGGGATTATGTCAGATGTAAGAATGTTTTTGTGCTGCATTACTACAGTCTTACATCTCTTATCACATTTCTTTTACGTATAGTTTTTCCTTTTCTCCCCTCTTGCAATTATTAAGAGATCGTCCATAAATTACATAACGCTAAAGAGGGGGAGGGGGGTTGAAGCAGCATTATGCTGTGATTCATAGAGGGGAGTATTTGATTAGTGATGTGTATCATTGATATTTTTTGACATTTGGTGAAATACTTCCTTTTTTAAGTTTTATACTAAAATATTATCTGATTTAGTTGTTATAAAAAAGTAATTTAAAGTTAATAGAAGTTGTAACAATAAATGGAAATATTTTGTATTTATCTGCAGATTACAAAGAAAATATTTAAAACTGATCTGAAGTATTTTGTAGAATACTATTAAATTGGCACAGTAGATTCTCACTCATCTGCCATCCAAAATGGCAGCGTGTCCATGGTGTGATAAGAAATTTTCTTGACAGTGCATTTTTGAATACTTAGAGGCATTTTTTTAAACATGTTTTTTCTTAATTGTTTACTTTTACAGTACAAAATTACTATTTATGTTAACAGAATCCCTCAGATATTTGTTGAGTCCTGAAAAGGGTAAAAATACAGTTCTAATGAAAAATTGTCTAATCTAACCACAAACATTTTAATTTTTCCAAATGCTATGGATTTCCATAATCTCAGCTGCCAGAATTGATTCAAATAATTTAAAGGTTGCCACTTAAGTACCTTATTGATCTTAAATGTTTGAATGGTTACGGGCAGGCACTTGACAAAGGAATATTTATATGTATATCTTGCTGAATACTGATCTCTCTCTCTCTTCTCTCCTCTATCTCTTTTTTTTTTTTTTTTTTTTTTTTTTTTTTGTAGATATCTTTAAATGACCTTCAATATGACAGGAATTTTTTTAGTTATTTGATTTTTAAGTTTTCAAAAGTATCAGTCACTTACTGTTGTCAGTGAACTAAAGTATTCAGATTAAGGTTATCCAGATCAAAAAGAAATATTATTAAATAATGATCTAATTTACTGCTTTAGAAGTTCTGATCAGTTGAGTTGTGTTTCGATAAAATAACCAAAAATTATGATTTCCATGACCAAAAAAAGTATTTTTTGAAAACAAATACTGTGAAGATAATACAATGTGGTGTCTTGGTGTTTTTACTTCCTCAGGCTACAACCCCAGGACATAGTTTCTTCTGACAACCAAAGCAACATGTATTGTGATTATCATAGCTTTAGATTATCTGAATCATAATGTGTTTTCAACTTTTAATTAAACAGTTAACTTCCATGATGAACACTTGCAAGGGAAGCAGTTTTTCATATTTTCATTGAATGTAAAATAGTGAAATAATTGTTCCATTAAAAGATGTTAATTCTATGAGGGCATATGATATGGTTGAGAAGGAAAAGAAAGTCCTTGTTCATTAAATGAAGATAAAAGTGCCACACAGTTAATAGTAGTTTCTCTATTTCTGGTTCTATGCAGGCATGTGGGGTGCAATGACACTCATTAATGGATTTGATTCCCTCTTTTTTAAGCTCACTTTGTAGCTGCTCTGTACGTACAGCGACCACCTCTGTTTTGTTGCATTGCATTTTACAGTTTCTATGGATAAGTGAGAAAATAGCACTTCTTTTGGTAATCTGATCTTTTGGAAGGTTTTTTGTGCATGATACATAATCTTCCAATGGTAACATAGCATAGAGTGACTATTTTTATCCATCAGTTGCTGATTGATTCAATTTTTTAAATTCAAGAAGGGATAAAAATGACTTGTGGATCAAAATCTAAAACGCTCAGTGTTCAGAGAGAATCATATCATGGGCCTTGGTTTCACGTTCAACAGCATTCCATCTTCTGACTTCCACGACCTTCCAACTTTTCATCTTCAAGATGCTGAGGTCCTATAATGTATCATCTTTCCATCTCTTTGTCAGTTGGAATCTCCTCTGTTTTCTCAATCAAGTATTTTTTTTAGGAATTCTTGATTTTGGCATCCTTTCAATGTCTCTCAACCATCTAATCCTTTGTAAATTAATGAATCTTAAAATATCTTTTCCTTCTAATATATCAATTTCATCGTTACACCTATATTGCCTTATAATTTTCATTTTCCTGTTATGGTGTATTAATTTATTTCTTAAAATTTGCATATTTACATAATATGCTTTGAAATCTGCCTTTAAACATTCTTTAATGCTCTCCCGTGTAGCATTCTAAATTACAAATAAGTGTTATTAAATTCTTGATACTGGTACCTCCTTGATAGGTTTTGTGTAATATTTTGGGAACTCCTTTTTTGTCTGATGTAGAAAGTACCACTTTTTTTCTTATTCTTATTATTAAACCTATTGCATCCTCATCTCTTTCCATTTCTTCATAACATGCTGTTAAACTATTTATTTCTACGTATTATGCAAATAGTATTTGCTTATGAGTGTATTTTTACTAATTATGTACTATTGTACTCTTATGCATCAGCTTATTTATTATACCATGTAATGCTATAACAAACAGAGTAGCTGATAGGCTGTCTCCTTGCCTTTGCTTCTCCAGTGTAATGGATTTGGTCTTTTTTTACCGTACTTAATTACTGCCTTTGCCTGATATTCCATTATCCTTATCAGTTTTATACCCTTTTCCTTTATACACTGAAATTCCTTTGTCATTTGTATTTAGCCCTTATATATCCCATAAAGGGCAATTGGCCTTAGTGCCTTTAGATGCTGGGGTTGCTAGTCAGTCACCCAACCAGGAACTCACGATATCTCAAATTCGGTTTTGCAGCCACGGCCTTTCAGTAGAATCCCAGCATTCATGTGGATGACTGAGAGAAATCAGGAAAACCCCAGTCAGGGTGGCTGGCTCAGATATTGAACCCAAGCCTCCTGAATGTGAAGTCGGTGTGCTATGCCCTGAGCTCCTATGCTCAGTTCCTTTTGAATGGTTTTTCATAAAGGGCTAATTATCCTATCAGAAGTTTATAATACACAAATAGTAGTTGATTATCTAAATCATGTTCATAGAATTTTTCAATAATTTGTTATTGCACAAGTATTTGATCCATTGTACCTTTATAAGGTCAGAATATACTTTAGAATTCTCTGATAATTTTCTTGGTATACTTTTGAAGCCTGATTTATTTTTCCTGATATTACTTTACAAATCGCATTCAGTAATGTGATTCCTCTATAGTTTTCAGAAGCCAATTATCTCCTTTCTTGAATATTGGACATATTATTCTTTGGCATCTTTTCTTTATCCCATATTTTGCTCATACTACTGCTGTTTCCAATATATCTCCTCCATATTTAATAAACTCCCCTTGCATTAGACCTTTGCCAGGTATCTTATTGTTTTTAATTTAATTTTTTTATCATTGTACCACCTTTTCATTCAAATTTACTTTCTTCATTTCTTGTTTCTCTCACTCGAATGTTGCTTGTCTCTACATCTATGTCCTATTTCTTGTTTAATAGCTCTTCAAAATAACGGCCTTGTCTTTCTATTACTTTTTCATTTCTTAGAATCTTTACATCCTCCAAGGTCCATGCATACATATTACAAGGTCCAAGCATATATGTAAGCTCATATAATATCCTTTTTTTGAAAACCTTTTCTCATATTAGTAAAGGCAGCATAGAATCCCTTTATCCCATTCCTTTATTTAGCTCTTCTATTTCTTAGAATTGTTTTCTAAATAAATTTTTGTTTTTCTGACTGCATATGAAAGTAAGGGATAGACAAATAAACCGACTATATGATAAAGAGGAAAGAACAGGACTTTATGGAAGAGGTTCACATTTAATCATTTCGTTCCTATTTTATGTATTCCGGTTTTAACATTGTTCTCACATTCTAAATTGTGTCTTATAACAAGTGCATTTTTTTAGGAATGGGTTGTTGGCCCTTTTCCCATCTCCCAACCTGGAGGATTGGGTATTTTTTTCTTGAGGTTGTCTTCCTCGAGCCTTTAGCAACGCAATGCTCAACTGCAAGGCAGCATTGTGTGTTTGCAGCAGCATGGTTAGGCAAAATACTTTAAATTTAGTACTTCGCTAAAATTCTTTAAAATAAGTATTTAAATACATTAGGTTTAGATGTGCTAAATACATATGTATTTAAAATACTTAATACCCAAAATACTGTAAATATATAATAATTTTGTATTATATATTTTCTATTGCAACAATATATTGTAATTGTCAATTACAGTAAATTAGTAATTGAGTCATACAAATTTCTGAACAATAACTATTGTAATGTATTGTAACCATATGTATAAACATTTTCAAATATAAAATATCAAAAATATGTCTAACACAAAGAAATGGAATTTCCTTTAAAAATGACAATTTCTTTCAAACAAATCATCTAACAATAAACCCCTAATTAGTGAAAGTATAAAACTTGCAAAGGAAAACAGTCCTTCAAGTGGTGTAGATGAACATAAACTAATGATATAACGAATAGATGTCTTTTTATTGCTGGATAGTTGTCCAGCCTTTTTAATGATTTAGATTTATCATTTAAAAATGAAGAGAATGCTAATTCAACAGCTGGAATGAGCTTTGATTTTTGTTTCAAGGATGTGTATTCACTAGCAGAATCAAACAAAAAAAACTATGTTCTTTTTCATGTGTATTTGAAGTTGTTTTTTTTTTAAAATACCTACTTTATGTATTTAAATACATCTCTAAAATTCATGCCCAAAAAACTCAAAAATACAGTTTTTCAAGTACGAGTATTTAAATACTGCCCAACCCTGCATGGAAGGTATGTAATTTCTTTCCTACCACCCATATCTGGGAGGCATTCTCATATCCTCCACCTGGAAATACGTCTTGTAGGAGTTACAGGCTTCCTCAAAGATTTTATTTTGCTAATGATTCATTAAAATAAATTTGACCTCTTCAGAGCAAGCTGAAATTAAAACATTTTGTGTGTGTGGTTGGTATAATATAATTGTATAAATAAAATTTACCTTCACATTAATTTGGCAAGGAAACAGGGTTTTTTGACATTGTTTTAGAACAAAACTGCAATTTTAAGTTAAAATAATTCATTTAAATTATAATTTTTTTAAAAATTTTATTTATATAATTTGAGACAAAAAAAATTATTATTAATTATTACTTTACACATTATTAATTATTACTTTACACACCAGATCTTTTAAAATAACAAAGATTATCTGAAAGTTAAAATGGTTTTGAAATTAAGTATGTTAGAAATCTGTTACCACTCAAATTGATCAACTTGTTTATAATTTTTTACCTATTAAATTATGAAATCAACTAGCTCTTACTGCTTTGACTAGTAATGTGGGGAACCTTTTCGTGCATGTTGTAGTGTGCATTTTGTTGAATAGTGTTGCAACTGATTCTGGAATATTACCATGAATTATGGTTTACTAGATAAAAGTTAAGAGATAATTTAAATTTATATAATTGCTTTCCTCATAATGTTAATATTTATAATTTGGTATTTGTGGAGAAATGTTGGTACTTTTAGTACTTGTGGATTGAATAATATTGACCGTACTATGTTATAAATCAATGTATCTAAAAAATTTTCAGTCATGACAAAAAAATTGTGAGAAGGAATGTGTTACATGATTCTGTTTAAAAATTCAAATTGGACATTATTGTATATTTCGTTTACAAACTATATATTTCAGTTTAGTTCAAAATTAATTAAGATAGAGATAATATTCTATGTAATGTTTTATGCGCAAGGGTATAAATTTAGTTTTATATTAGATTAAAATTCAACAATATGGCCTCACCAAGAAGTATTAGAACCATGTTTCTTATTCAAATATGAAAATGTGAATAAAGAATTTTGCAGAAACAAAGATAAAATCTTCAGAGGCATGTATTCTATTGATGTAGATGAAAATGAAGTGTTCGAAGGTACAGTATTTTTTGGGGGGGAAATATAATTATGCTGGTAGTAAATGTGAAATACATTGAAAAGGGTGGTGAATGAATTATACTGTAAAAATTATAATCATTTTTAGTTGATTCAAAATCTTTATTAACTATGATAGAATAATTGTCAACTTTCATGTAGCACAAATAAAAATTTTATTTGGTGAATGAATGTCAACTTCATTTTAGGATGCCTGAATCATGCAATTCACAGTACACATCAATTTATTTCACTGATGGTACTTTCCATTTGAAACAGTGGTTTATTCTGAATTTAAAATCTTGTGAATCCTAGATACTGAAAGAGAGTGACTTACCCTTTTTGTTTCATATTTCTAGCTTATAATTAATAATCATAATAAATTGTATAAGATCACATAGTTTATAAACAAATAGCAAGGGTACTTTTTCCTTCTCTTAGTGTCTTTGGGAATCACAGCTTGCCCAGAATTTGTACCACTTATTTCATAGATTATTGTACCTGAATATAATTATAGATGTAAACAATGGCATGGTCCTTCAATAATTTGGTTACTGTTAAATCTGTTTTATTCAGTGTTGATGTGCTTTAAATAGCATACTGAAAGTTAAAAGTTTCTGAATATTGCACCAGATTCATGGAATATAGTATTATCCCTCTCTTGCTCTTCTTCCAAGAGAGATGAGAGTGCACTACATTATGGCATATAATATATTTCAAACTGAACATTGAGGTTGTAGAATTTTTTCTTCAATGTTTGATATCTGTTTTGTGCAACTCATCTTCACTCATGTTACACAAATTAGTGAATGCTGCTTTTGTTTATAATGTATAGCAGAAAAACGTTTTTGAAGTCAATTCTGTTTGTTCTAGCCTTGAATTCCCAAGAATTATTGAACTAATAATTTGTCTATTGCTTTTCATTGTAATTGAAATAATTGTACCATACATTGTTATTTTCCACAATGATAAATAACATTTTATTATCAAAGGTAATTGTGATATTTGTGTTTTAAGGAAGTTGAAATCTCTTCCAGTTAACTGAATGATAGCATATATTTTCAGATTTTACTGATTGTTTTGAACACTGAAAGAATTTTTGTCAATGAGAGCAAATAATTTACATTAGTATTCATACATGAAATAAATTTGAATCCCATTTACCCAGCTGTTCTACTGTGCAGCTTACATTCCAGCATTTCATTTATTTTACACCTTAAAATTAAGACATGCTATATGTGTATCTTAGTATGATGGTGCGTTTCCTTTTTGAAAAGATGGTTTGTGTAAGATTTATCACTAACAGCCTCACTATAACATGAAAGCTTTTAATAAGTCAAGTTGAAATATTTCCTTTTAATTTTATAAGGACACGCAATAATAAAGCTGAAATTGGATTTGGTATTTATAAATGTCATTGGACACAGAATTATTTTGTATATATAGACTTAAGAAGGCCATTTCAGTCAAGGTGGTCTTTCCCTGATGTGTGAAATTTGAATGGAAGATTAAAGCAAAACCATTATTTAATTATTAATCTGTTCATGGCTAATTGAGAAGATCCACTCGTTTTTTCTTGAACAGATGTAAATTACAATTTATTAATTGGAAATGTAATTAGAAGTATTTTAGGAAATATTTTAAAAGCAACTAAAATTTATACTTGTTAATTGTATTTTGAAAAATGCCTGAGAAGGTATTACAATATGAAAGTCAAGTGTTTTAAATCAGTGTTATTTTAATATTAAAATTACTTAATATGGTTTATTTAGTTTTGTTAATAAGGAGTAGAATGTTTCTTTAAAAATTACCACCATTTTGAAAAGTTAAAAATTTTGCTCAGATATTACAGGAATAGAAAAGTGGGACACTGTTGACAATTAAATAACCATTTCAATAAGCATGTGCTGTTATTCCCAATATTAACATTTCAGAAAAATAAATTTAATATGCAAGTCAAAATTAAAATGATTTTCCTTTGTTAATGTGATACAACAGCTCAATATTTGTAAATAAATTGAAGACCAATATGATGAATGGATGTTGGTTGCTATAGTACCGCATGTGTCCTCATCTTATTACGGTGAGTATCATTTCGAGTTAAGATGGCTCTTGAAGCAACAAATTATCAGTTCCCGCTAATATTATGATTTCAATTTAAGATCGTACGGAGGCGAGAGGCAAGAAAAAAAAACATGTATAATCAGACGTACGCTTGCTATGGAAGCAAAGCCTCACATTTAAATGCCAGAGAAGTTTGTGTACGCAGTTAACGGTTTTGTACTAATGGATTTACGTAAAAAACTACATAGTTTAAGGTTTGACCAGATGTAATTAACTACTCTAGATGATTTGTAAGATGTCGCTGCGAGCATTTTAACTCACGTAAACTAGAAATTTACATAATACAACGTAAGAAAATCTTAGAAATAGGCAAATGTCTAGAATAATTGAATTTGCGATGGTGGTTTCGAAATACTACGTAGCATATGTTGTCGTACGATAATAATTGGTCAATATACAATTCAAATGTTCAGGAAGGCAATGTACCGAAAACGTTTATCTTATATAAAAATATTATAGAAGTAACATAAATTATTTCCCATCGAACTTTTCTGCTTTTGTAAAGCTATACATGGTAATGAAACGAAATAGAGGTACTTTTCTTGTAAGCTAAACCAATTGTAGCAATTGCAATATACGGTATTGCCTTTTGTTTCAGTCATTATTGATTAAATATAACCAAAAGTGCCTAGGACAGGTATTTTCAAGACAAGGAATGAGGATTCATTTTCGGTGGAATACCGAGAAGAGGACATTGCCTCTGCCCCGCGCATGCGCAGTAGTGCATTTCAGGCACTTAGATTTCTGAGCGCTGGTCGGCTGTCGGACTTCCGATCTTTGAAGCGGCGGCTGTGTGGTGTGTAACAAGTCGTTGCGAATCGAGGCTGTGAAGATGAGTGTAGAAATTTCAGAAAATAATGCAGGCCCCGAGATCGTAAGTAATATTTTTCGTTTGTTTTATGATTATCAGGTTGCAGTTTCACTTTTAAAGGAAAAAGGTAGTACTTGTATACGTAATTCGAGAGCATCTGAGCGAAAATTTTCTAAGTCTGTAATGGCGTCTGGAGACTAAGTCCCACGTAGAGATTATTAGTGAACCATACGGATTTTTTTCTCGAGTTGCATAAATAGTGCATTATTGATTGTCGTTTGTATTTTGAACTTGTTCACAGCTCTTAATGTTTTTTTCTGTGTTCTAGGCGAAAATTTCGAAGGAAAACAACCCTTCTTTGGGTAAGTTTCAATGTTTTGTTGTGGAAGTTTTAATATTTTTACCTCCACGTGCTCCCGTTCGTCTTTGAATTATGGGATAGAGAAAGAAAATTTGAAGTAATTATATTTATGTAAATATTTTTGTTTTAAAATTAGGAAAACAAATTTGTTTCAGACCGACACTCCATAGTGAATGGAATATCCAATGGTTATAGTGAAAAACATAGTAAAAAAGAACATAAATCGGATAGTAAGGATAAAGAAAGACATAGGGACAAAGACAAACATAGAGATAGAGAAGGTAAAGAGAGTGATAGAGATAAAGAACGAAGAAAAGAGAAGAGCGAAAAGGTTAGTATTTCAGTATATTTTTAATAGTTAACTTAAAAAATAGGAAGAAAAACAATAACAAATATTGTATTTGTGAAAGCATGTTAATAATTTAATTAGAAGATAAATAATGCTTTAAATTCGATTGAAATGTTTGTGTATGTTGGTAACTGTATATTTAACTAATTTTATTTGTGTGAATATAACTTTTTAGGACAAATCAAAACACAGTAGCAGTAGTAGTAGCAGCAAGGACAAAGATAGAGATAAAGAAAGGAAACATAAGGATGAGAAGAGAGATAAGGAACGGGAGAAAGATAGAGAGCACAAAAGCAGTAGTTCAAGCAAGGACAAAGAACATAAAAGTTCAAGGTAATTCAAAAGTTACTACTTTCTGTATAGTGAATAACTATGGTTTTATTATTTAGAGGTTATATATTGAATGTAACATTTCATGTTCTTAAAAGGAATACCAAGATAGTAACAAAGTTTACAAATCTTTAGTTATTTACAAGAAACCTTTTGCTTTTCCTTTTAAGAAATAAAATCAAATCCTTTCTTTCTATTTCTATCAATTAGTGTAGTTTTTGTTGTGTGTGAAAATGAAGAGGTAATCGTTTGAGTTTAGTAGACAGTGTTAGTACTGTTATGTGTGTGGGTAATGATTTTCATATGAAAATATTGCTTGATAAATTATTATCTTATCACAGTTGTGTGAAAAATTGTATAAATGATATTTATTTATGATATTTAGAATTAGTCTCATTATTATGTGTTTTTTTTATTTCCCATGATATCCATATGACTCAGGTTTAGAGGTCTTCAACACATGGTTAATAGGCTGCTTTAGTCTGCCAAACATTTTGAGGGGAAAATATGATTTACCGTAAAAACACAAAATTCAATCGGGGCATTAATGACTTATATGATCACAAATCTGTACCATAATATTTAGAATATAAAGACACTTACCAGATTACAAGGAATACTATATTTTATCTTATAAAATATTCAAAAAAATGAAGAAAATTTTCTATTAGTAATTACTTGAGAGGATATTTTGCATTGGATCATATGCATTCTTCACTAATCCTGTTAATTTATACATAATAAAAATGTTGAAATAGCTAGATATTCGAGCATTTTTTGATTATTGCTGAAAAATGCTCCATGAACCTTCGCTGACTTCAAAGATCGTAAAATTTCTTCTTGGGCACATTGTTGGGCACATAGGAACAGTGATTATCAATTTTTTGTTAACAAGTTACATGTGCAATGATCTCTTCAATTGTGCTTGCTGAAAGAAATTTTATACAAATCTACAATAAGTAGATTCTTAAAACTACTTGGAAATACAAAGCGTTAAATAAGCTGAGAAACTGATGTGTAGAATCTTCTCACATTATTTATCTAAACAAAATGTAGGTCTTCAAATAATGGAATAGGACAATTTTGTGTGGCATGGAAACAAGAAGATGAACTTGGTGAATATGCTTCCCATTTAATTACATGGCATATTAACACTTCACTCAGAAATGGCAGGAACAAACCTGGTGGGGGTGTAATGTGAAATTAGGATAGGAATAAAATGGGACAAATTTCCAAATATTCTTCATAATTATCTGGAAAGAAATATAAGATATCAGTGCATAAACTCAACACTCTTCCAAGCCAGTTCAGAATGTCCAAGTCCTAATGGGAAGTCGCATTAACAAGACATACTACGCTACAGAAGGTAGTTGGTTTCTTTGCCCATTCAGTGTGGGTCAGAGCTCTTGCATGCTCTAGAATGGATGCTTTACTCCATTTTCTTGGCAGGTTCTTTATTGCCAAGGAGACTATGATACGCAACTGCCCTCTTTTCCTGCCGGTAATTGAACCCATGCTTGAAGCATGGGAAGCAAGAACGTTGACTGTAAGGTATCTGGGGGGCTAAAATGTATTTTATAGAACGTTCACATTTAAACGTCCATTTATAATGTTTTTCTGCTTACTAGCTTTGTATAATAATATGGCTGGAGATTATCAAATAGTTTGGAAAACCTTCCCAGAGCAGAAAACTACCCTAAAATGTAAAATAATTTTAAAAAATTCATGGTTTTTAGTTATACCCATTTTAAAAAATAAAACAGAAAAATAAAAGATTTTAAAGTGTCACCTGCTTCTGTTTTAATTGCATAAGTGAATTACATTTATTAAAATAGAATGTGTATTGTAAAAGTTAACAATTGATATTTTTGTGATAGTATTCTGCTTTAGGGAGTTTTTCCAAATCATTTGTTTTGTTAAAACCATTTAGAGTGTTCCTATGCTGTCTTCAGTCATTTTAAAACGACACGGAGAAGCCAGAAAGCATTCTGACAAGTGTTCGTAGGCTAATATTCCATGATCACTTGAATCATAATTTGATGTTTTTGTGTTGTTTGTATGGCCTTGGTTTCCTTGCTTTCTGAAGTAAAATTTCATTTTAGCCTGTTTGCAGTATTCTTCTGGACAGATCAGAAGTTCGTACATTGTTTAGTGCAACATCTTCTGTCCAATTAGCCATGTTATAAGAAAACAATTTAAAAAAGTTTATTAGTTCATCGTAATCATCCACTTTACACACTGGAATTCTTACCTTTGATGGATTTCAGTTGTAAATTGTAATTAATATAAGTGCATTTCTTAAGTCATGATTCTTATTTTTTTGTATGAGTCGTTAATTTTTCTTTTCAAACAAATTAAGATTTATTGATAAATACTTGGAATTTCAAATTTAGTAGTATCGATAATAGCCAAAGAAATAAAATTCTGATTCTAAGAAATAAGAAGTTGCTGTTCTAATCTAAATATGCTCACCACTGAGTAATGATCACATGTTTTTGTGATACAGATTCATTTGTTATACTAGCATTGCTTAAAATATTAAATGTGATATGGTGAATATGTTAGTTGGATTATCTTCATTTTGATGAAAATTTGACAGATGATTGTCCCTAGCCAAGCCCTTCAGTTATAGTGTTTTCATTCTTACAGTGTGTCTTTTATGGAGGCGGTAATTACTCAGGCAACTTTTCTTGAACGATGACATTGCTTTCCCCCCCCCTCTGACACAATAAACAGTTGAAGGCGAAAGCTCGCAGCGAGCACTGGTGGCAACAATTCAAACACATCTTTACTGGCGCAAAATAGAAACTATTTTCTGTTGAAGACGAGAACTTCTGTCCGTGTTTTTCTTTAAAAAATCTTCTCTCTCTCTCTCTCTCTTTCTCTCTCTCTCTCTCTCTCTCTCTCTCTATCTCTCTCTCTATCTCTCTATATATCTCTATCTCTCTCTCTCTCTCTCTCTCTCTCTCTCTCTCTCTCTCTCTATCCCCACTCGCTCCCTCAGTGGGCATTGGTAACTCTGTGGTGACATCACAATTTCAAGTCTCTAATTGGATGACAGAGCCCCCTCTCACCTGACACTCACTGACAAATGCATATTATTTGGACAATATGCCCACTGTTTGTGCTTTTACCTTATATGTATTTTTTCTCAAGACTTTTTCTTTTTCATAACTTTTTTGTAGTGCACTAAAATGTCTCCATATGACACAATTGTTGCTATTTTCTTGTATGCAGAGAATAGATACGCTATGTAATGCTGCAAAAATTAAATTTCCAGATTTTGACAGAAATACATATTTTGTGGGTCCCTGAATTGTGTGTTTGTGTGGGGAGTTTTCTTTTCCGTTTTCTTTTAAAACAAATGTGGGATCAGACTCTTAAAACAACACTAGTGCCTTAACCATTCATAGGATTTTCACTGAACATTGATAGCTGACATAATTGACCCTTGAATTTGAAATTGATAGTATAATATTTAGGCCTACTAAACATGAAACCCCAATGTCATTTCCTCAACAATGGCTTCAGTTTTTTGCTTGGATAGAGGAATTACGCTAATAAAAATGGCATGATTTTCATTAAAATCTCAGAACTTTCAGAAATTCTGAAAGTTAACAATTTGTTGGACCTTCAACTACATTATTGAATATATAGATTTTTTTTCCCCTTAATGTAATGTGTCCTTTAAAATAAGATCTTTTATTAATATCATTATATGTATTGTTCTTACATCAGATCCTAACAGCAGTAGCAAGAAACAAATTACAATGAGAGCACACAATAGTAGGTGCCACAGAAACTTGCACACAACACATGACCAAACAACTAATGGCGCTCTTCAATTTTCAATTGCTTTGCCTTATAAGATAATAAATCATGTATCTCCCCCTCTTGCACCACCTTGATATTGCACAATGAATTTTTTTTCCCAAAAGGTGAATAGTTTTCACATATTTTTGAATTAAATAAGTTTAAAAAATGTAAGCATGATTTTCTCAAAAAAAGGCTCTAACTTCATTCCTCAAGTATATTGTTGTTTAGCTCTATTAGCTTATTACTTTTAATAGTATGGAATAGATTTTTTTTTTTTTAATTTCTTCGCTTTTTAGCTTATATACTGAAGATGTGCATTACCTTCAGTATATAAGCGAAATAATTTTTATTTAGAAATCCATTCCTCAATGTAAGATCTTCAAATTATTTCAATCTAAGATTTTTTTAAATAGTATTCGTTTTCTTCAATTTTGATTTATATGGTGACAAAGGTTTTAAAAAATGAACTATCCCATGCCCTTAATAAAGAAGTAAGCAATATATTTGTGAAAATTTAGTTTTTAAATCGTGTGTACTTTTTCAAACTATTAGAAGTGTGTTTGTGATTTTGAGTTATGTTGTTTAAACTTTTCATACAAAAAGAATTCTAAAGAATAGTTATCTCGACCAGGACCTGAACTGGATCTCCTGATTTATGTCCAGTTACTTTAACCATTCTTTAATTTCAACATTTACTGTTTTCTAAGCTCATTCTTCGGGTGCATTGATGTACTCATGTTTAGCAAATGTATTCTGAGAGATGTTGATATTGCCTATCATGCAAGACCTTGTAACTGAAATCTGTAAAGACATTGTTATATGTCACTATTGCAGTTGAATAATTGAGTAACATTATTCTTTCCATACATTTTTATTTTAAATAATATAAAATGCATGAACTAGAAGCCCTTATTTATACACTTGTACCATCTTTCACTTTTAATAGTATTCGAAGAATTTTGTAATCTTTCACAATTTCTATTTTTTCAGCAAAGATAAAGAGAAGCATAGTAGTAGCAGCAATAGCTCCAGCAAAGACAAGGATCGTGATAAACATAACAGCTCTCACAGGGATAAAGACAGAGACAAGGATAAAGAGAGACATAGCTCAAGTAGTAAAGAAAAGCACAGTTCCAGTCATGACAAAGAAAGGCACTCAAGCTCTGATAAAAAACACAGTGATAAACATAAAAGTAAAGAGAAAGATTCAAGGGACAAAGAAAAAGGTAATATATACCCCATATTTTTACAAACCATCTGATGTGTCCCAAAATTGATACTTCATTTACTGTGAAAAATAACCTTCACAAAAAAATTAATGCTTTTGGTTGTAAGTGGAAGATTTTTATCAGATTTTTTTGTTATTAGTGAAATCTAAGAGTGATGAACACTCCAAGAAAGAAAAGGATAAACCAGAGGAGAAAAGTATGTTAGAATCCTCTGATTTTGAAGAGAAACCTAAAATCAAGGAAAGTTTTGATGAAAAAAGTTTCGTTTCAATTAAGACTGAAGTAGAAAGCCCCTCAAAAATAAAAGTTGAACCAGAAGACACAAGTTCTCAGTACTTTAATGAATCTGTTAATGACACAATGGATAGCTCAATTGGGCAGAATACTTTTCATTCAGAGCTTATTATTAAGAGTGAAGAAGATACTGAAGATGACACACCTTTGGTAAGTTTTTTGTAACTAGAAACTATTTTTAGCATATTCCTTAAATAGAAAAATGTATAAAAGGCAAATGCTATTGTTTAATTGGGCTTCGTGTTTGGAGTCATGAACTAAAGAAACTCCAACTATATTTCATTGACCTGAACTATTCCGCCAGTCAAATGTATCAGAAATATAGAAATTGGGTATTAATGGATTTGTAAGCGCGGGGGAGGGGGGGTGAAGTGCTGGACAGTGACTACGCAGCAAAGGAGAAATCTTGTACAAGTTTTGTGAATTGAGTTTGTTCTGTATTTGAAGGATCATGTTTTCTGAGTCCAACTTCTCATATATTTTCATCTTGTCATGGGTACCTTGTCTTATTGATTAAAAATATCTGTATTCAATATAATCATAGAACTAGAGTAACTGTTCCAAATATTTGAAGGGGAAAAAAGAAGACTAATGGTTTCAACAAAAAAATTACTTTAATTTTTTTTTCTTTTTTTAAATGTTCGGAACAGTTACTCTAGTCCTTTGATTGTATTGAATGCAGAAATTTTTAATAAGACAAGGTAACCTGACAAGATGAAAATACACGAGACGTTTGTTAGATAAAAGAACAATTATTTAGTATACAGAAAGAAGAATCTGAGAGAGAAATGGAACAGAAGTATTTTAATTCAATATATAAATAATAATAATAGAAAACATGGAGAAATGTATTGGAAAATGAAATTTGATAATTAAAACATTACTTTAATATTCTATATCCTATTCCTAAAATCTGTGCAAAATCTATTCACAATTAAAACATAATATATTGTCAAAATGTGGATCCTGAAAACGCCTTCAAAAGAAGGAATATTAATAGGCATCTAAAAGAACAAACGCTGTCAGACTATTGCAACTTTGAGAAGGGCTCTTGTTCTTTTCAGACACATTACATAGTTTGAATGTGTGTTTGTTTATTTCAGTGGCCAGATGGGGGGAAATCCCAGCAATCAACTTTGGTATGTTTATAAATGTTGCATGCTGTATTGTCAGCGTCATGAACAAACTTGTTTTTCATTTTCTAGGAATTCCCAATTTGTTTTAATTTTTTGTCATGTAGTAATATAAGTTAATATATGCTCTTTGTTGGAAATTACTAAAACCCTGTTACTTGTCTGTATTGTTCACATTTTTTAATGAAATCTGTCAAAATTTACTTTGTACTAAAACTTAATTGTAGTAGTTCAAATCTGTATCTCATTCTAGGATATTGTCTGTGGCATGTTCCTTTTGTATGCCCAGCATATCGTGATCAAATACTGCTTCTTACATGCAAGGCTTTTTAGTTTTCAACCTTGGAATTGTCTTCCCGTAATGCTCTTTTCACTGTAACAATTCCTTTACACATAGTACACTAGTCCATGTAGACCAATGAATGCCATCTTGGCTGGGAATCGTGCTTTACACGGCACAGATGTGCAGATTGAGATTAAGTTCATTGTAATTTTAGCGTGAAACGTTTTCAGTTTGTAAGATCTCATAAGCATTTCATTGGGTCGAGTAATTGTTAAAGAATATTTATAAAGGAAATTGCAATTTCTAAACTACAACCATTTTATTAATGGAGAAATACTATCTTGTCGAGGTATTATTGTAGACTTCAAAATGTTAGAAACTCATTGTTTTTTATACCACCCTATTGTTCATGAAGCAAATAGTACTGTGCGCTCATCAAGCTTTTTATTTAGTTGTTAGTGTTGATGAAAAGAAAAAAAGACTTTCATGGAAGAAAAGTTTTCTTATATTACGATGACAAGCCTGATAATAATACATAGTGCTTTGTGGGCTTTTAGCCCTGAGTACACTTTTTTCATTTATTATTACCAGGCGTGCTGTGAATTCCATTCACCACCTGATTAATTTGAAGTTTAGGTTTGTGTATAGAACTATTATTTTAAAATCCATTTTCGTTTATTCCGTAATCATATTGTAATAGAAACCTTTCAAAATTATTACTTTTGCAAAAATTAATCACTAAGTGAGGCTACACACACATAGTAGTTCTGAGAAATGATTTATATTATTCTTTTGAATCGATTGCATGTTAATTTTTACACTTTACACATTTTGTTATGTTATTTAATACAAAGTTCAAACATGTATTACACTTCATCATAATCACTCGAGTTGTTCATTACAATATAAGTAACTTTTTTTTCAGACAATTTTCTCCCCTCATATTCATCCAACCTAAAATTCAAATTATTTTATTGTAGCTGGAATAGACACTGCGTAAATATGAACAATAACAAAAACTAATTTCCCTTAGAGATTTTACTTACAAGACCAGATGCATGATGAATTTTCTTCACACGGCAAATGGAGATGAAAACTCCTGTAAGTTTGGACGCTATTAAAACAATGAGACATCTACTTAATTTTGATTTAAAGAAATAGTGTGTCATGATGTATCATTGACATTTCCAGGTGGGAGAGCAGGAGGTTGGACTGGTGGTTAGAATTTCCCAGCACGCCTCTAGGGATAAAATTTGCCTGTATTTTTGTTTTGGTTTTTTAATTAAGAATTAATACATAGAGCATGATTTAATTTTTTCATTTGTTTGTTTATTTGCAAATTCAAAAGCATTGAATTATATAATAAAATGAGTATGTGAACATTTGCCCTTCATTTAGTTATATGTAATCAAAGGTGTTTTATTTAATATCATGTACAAAACATCCAAAACTATACTAGTTTCAGGAATACCTTCCCCAGCATTAATGAGGTTGCCTTGAAACTGGTTTGGTTTTAAATGTTTATTGTAATTTATTAACCTAATATTGTGGTGTGTTTACCGCTGTATATTCATCTTTAAAGTGAATTTCTACAATATCTCAGCTGAAACTACAAAGAGATCATTCTTAAATGTGGAAAAGTGCTTCAAACAGATTCGTGGAATGCATAGTGACCCGTCCTTCTGTCATAGTCTTAAATCACAATTGCAGATTTGTAACTGCTTCTCAGAAGCATTCAGATTCATATAAACCAAAATCACACTCTGTTCCAAAGCATTTATCCCGAATATTAAGTTTCAAGATTGATTTTATTTTCAAGGAAATTTCTAATGTTTACAAAATTGTTTGAATGAAAAGGGAAAGGTTTCGCCAAAAACCAAAAACGTTATATTTTTCTCAAAAAATGTGTGTAATAAAAATGCTCACTTATATTCAGTTGTCAGTTTGCTGCTCACTCAATATTAAGAATTGTAGCATTGATACGTCAGGGCATATTGAGATCATTTAAAAAGGTAGTTTTAAAAATGATAGCTAGCATTAAAGTATTAAGTAATCTATTTAGAATTTATTTGCTAATGGTACTTAGTTTTTTCTATGTATATAGGGAAAATGCGTACATATTCAGTATTTATCAATTTTATTGTAAATGGCATTACTGATTTTCCAATGTTAGCTGATTTTTTATTTAACAATTAATTTTAGAAAGTAGTGTATTAGACTTTCGTCTAAAAGCCTGATATTTGGTTGCGTACTTAGGAAAGCTGGATTTACTCATGTACTTAAATTATGAAGTGAGTTGTACATAATTTTGAAACTAAAACATGATCCAAGTGAAAGCAGTGTGATGTTACAATTGTAATTTAGGAGATGTATAGGGAACAAATCTTTTCCATTAACTTAATTTGCTAGTCCTTCTAGAGATCCCAGAACAACAAAAATTAACTATGATTATACACTTGCAGAATCATTTTATTTGTTTGTAATTTTTTGGGGATGAAAGATACTTGAGTGTTGCTGTGTAAAAACTTGTAAATTCCATGTGTGAATTATGTTAGTGGTTATTTGTGAAGTTTAAAGATGTATAATATCAAAGACAAATTATAATTGTTGTATGGAGTGAGTTATTATCAGTACTTAAGTTGAGTACACATTTATTTTTTTGTGCAGTCCTTGCGCCCAACTTTGAATAGTACAAAGAGAAGTATTGCAGATGAAGATGATGATGATGATGTTCCACTTTTTGCAAGAAAGAAGGTAAAGAAAGAAAAAGAGGGGAAAAAGAGAAAGTCTATTGCTAATGAAGAAGAGTTCAAACCAGTACGTATTATGAATTATTTAAGTCTGGATTTATTGTTAACTTGCTTTCAATGCAACTAATAATTTTAGGCAAAGAAGAAGTCTAAGAACAAAGACGAGAAGAAGGTGGAAGTAACAGAGAGTCCAAAAAAGAAAAAGAAAGAAGAGGAGCAGCAAGAAGTATGGAAATGGTAAGTAAAAGATTCTCGATCTGACGTCTTTTGTATAAGTGCAAACGTAGATATAGAGAGCTGTTGCTGTCGGAGCATTTGGATCTGTGTGCGTTTTAACTGTCGCCTAATAAAGTAATAAGTGGCGTGTGGAACTCAATTCGTAAATAGTACAGACTCATTAGACTGATGCATTGAATTTCAAGGACCTTGTATGTCATCTTTTCTCCTTCAATCACAACTTCTCTGCTAGATATGTTTGCTGTGGGTCCTAAGTTTGCAAAATAAACAAGAATTTGGTACAACTGGTCTTGTGGTTGATTCTGCTGTCATCAGATAGTTATTGAAAATAGTACGTGTCTTCAAGTAAAATTTCTCACATTTGTAAATTTTGAATGCACTCCATTGCTGATGCATTTCTTATAACCTAGAACTTGGTCACAATTTTCATCAAGTTTCATCTTGATAACTTAATTGTAAGATCATTGTCCTCTGTGTACATAGAGGTTTGTGTTCAGAAGACTTAGGAACAAAAGTGTTTTAGATTTTCACAGTACGCAGTATTCTCGACATGATGTAGGAAAACAAAATGGCGGAACGGAGAACTTTAAGTAAAAAGTGATCCAATGTGTTTCAGTTTTTATTTTTATTTTTTTACAGTATTATTAAATTGTGGTTTTAAAAATGATCACATAACTTTCGCTTAACTTGATGTACTGTTCAGAAACATTCGACGTCGTAAAACTGCAAATGCATATTGAGGCCGATAAGTGTTTTTTGTATTGTGGGAAGAATTCATCGTGGAAATATATATCTTGCATGGTTGCGTTGACTAATTTGTCCCTTGGGCACCTGTTGTATAAGTTTGTTTCCTGTAGCCGTTTTACGAAGTTCACGAAAATATCTTGTACGGCTTTTCGCCATGGTCTGGCCATCGAACTTTGCAGGTTAGGTTAGAATACGTGAAGAAATTATATAAGTTATTATTTATTGGAGGATCATATTGAGAGTTGAAATTCCTCAAATATCTGATACGCTTGTGCCTTGAATAGAACTCCACAAGATTTGGTAGTGTGAATTCGAAGCCTGAGGTTTTGGTGCATATTAAATAGGCCGGTGTTGCACGGAAAAGATAAAATCTATATATTTGATGAAAAACTTTATGGAAGTTCTTTGAACTTTGACAAAGAAATTTGATGAACTATTACATTTCATCCAATATTTTATGTAGTTTTGCTCGCGATTGAAGATGGATGACGCACAATTTATTTTTTTCTTCTTTGTGCTACTTTATGCTCAATAATAACTAATTTTATGTTTTTTCAACACCCTGTAGATGGCATTGATTTAATGCTGAAGAAGTATAATAAAAAGTAAAGAGGAGACATTTGAGGGTGAGGCCATGGGTCGCACATTAAGCATAAATTAAAGAACTTGGAAATGAATTATTTGAGGGTGAATGGGGAAATAGTCTGTAATCTTTGTCATTGTTGTTCTTCTCCCTTCTTTCAAATTGGGTCCTCTGATTTTGGAGTTCATTGAGTGTAATTTTTGTAGTCTGGATTAACAGTGTTATGTAAATATTGTAATTGCTCATACTCTGCAATTAAAACTTCGGCTGAATCAATACCATACATGTACCTATCAGACGCCATGTTACCAATTGTATGATAAAACTTGTACCTTTGAGGTTACATAAAATGGTTATAAAAGATCTTTGATAAAGATCTTTTACGATGTAATAACGGCCATAATACCATGTCGCATAATGCAACATTTTGTTTGGTTTTTATACCGAAAAGCATTAAAGTGACATTGAATGTTCACATTTAAAGAAATGGATTTGTTGAATGTAGGTCTATCAGTAGTTGGGATTAGGTTCATGAATTTTGTTGTCAGATTATGCTGAGTTATGAAAAGAACTAAGACTACATATTCAATTAATAGGGCTGTTTCATACACATTGAAAATCACACAAAATAAACACTACTATGCTTGTATATTATTTTATAAAGTGCATTTTGATTTTTGCAACTTGTGACTTTTTCTTGAAAGCAAGTTCAACAATTATTTATAAATTGTGATGGACCAAATTATATATATTTATAGGTGAAATACTAATGAAAAGTTAATTGTGATAATTTGAGAGTTGAAAAACAGCGTCCTGGCATCAAGCAGGATAACAAATAGTTAAAATCTGAAATGCACAACATGAGACTTGTAAAACTTTTTAAACTTACATAATTTTACATGTTTTTTTAAATATCTCTACACATTTTAATGATCAAGCTTTCAATAATAGACTTCTTTTATTAGGTATAAAATAGACATGCTTGGAATCAGAGTAATAGTAAAATATGTTGCAGGCGGGTCTGTTACATTACTGCTACTGTGAGTCTGTTAAACTCAGCATAACATACTTTGGCTTGAAATCATGTAAAATGTTTTAGAAATGTTTAATTTTACTAGAGCATAGTTAACCAGTGTTAAGCAAAGTATTTTTCTCAAAATTATTACACTTTTAGAACTTACACCAATGTTTGGGTAATATTCGTGGAAGGATCTAGGCAAATCAGTTACTGAAAAATGCCAGTTTTGAATTTAGCTCTTTTTAAGAGTTCAGCTTGGTAGATAGTTTCCCACAAGAGCAAAAACCTTATTCTCAACCATTCATAAATGGAATGAAATAAAAGCCTTATATCAACAAAACTTAATGTGGCATAAACATAACATTAAATAAACAGTACACCAAAGAAGCAAACAAACAAAAATTGCCTTTTGCTCATTTTTTACCATATTCTTGAATTGCATGGGAAAATGCATTGCTTTTGTTCAGAATACACAACCATTGGTTTAAAAAATGAAGTTCATTGCAAGGAAAAGCTACGTTCTTGAACAGACTTTATGAACAGTTGTTCTTCCACAACTTTCACAAATGTTATCTGTAAAGAACTCAACCTCAACAGTGAAGGACCAAATGGTATAACTAATTGTTCGATAAATAAGCAAAATTGAAAAGAGAGAGAGAGAAAATGTGTAAACATTTCTAATCATATCAGACATTTCACCTCTGTAATGTGTGAAAAAGAATGTTAAAAGCACAGAAAAGTAATGTATTGTGTATTCTCAAATTGCGAGTAGATTAAATTTCGTAATTTCTGAAAAATTAAGACCACAATTGTTTTTATGCTAATTACAATGACATTCCACTAAAATTTCACAAACTTTAAAATATTTAATGAATTTATGGGCTAACTTACCTGTAAATATTAATTATGGTTAGACCACCATGTATCTTTATTAACTAAAGTTTATTTCGGTTCCTTAAAAATTCTAATAAAAAATGTTTCTCTGTATCAAAACTATTTTCTTCATTCTGGGCATTTATATAAGTGAATTGATAATTATGAAACGCCAAATCCCATTTTTCTCGTGAAGGTTTCTTTCCCTTTCCAAGGGAGTTTGTCCATCATGGAAATGTGCACTCCAAAGCAATCTTAAGGACAGTTGCATGTCCTTACATGTAATGGCCTTTACATACAGTGTTCAGTGCAGGTTCAGTTTGCTGTTAAGTGCAGTGTGTTCGAAATGTTGAAACGAAAGTCCCTCAGTCTTGCAGAAAAAGTCCACTTGATTAAAGATGGGAACAGTCGTACACCGAAACTACTAGTGGCGCAGAAATATGAAATAACAACTATTACATTTTGACTATAAAGGAAAAACTTCGAAAACCTTTGCAAAAATCCTGCAACTGTAGGAGCAGATTCAAAAATGTCTTTACATCTGAGGTGCAAGGTCTGACTGTATCTAAAGTAGTAATGTTAAATTGTAAAAATGTGTATTAAATAGTATTGTAAATCAGAAAAACTCTTATTAAATTCAATTAAATGGTAGAAAAAACATTAAACGCTTGGTCCTAAGAGACCAATGAAGTGCACTCTTGTAAATTTATAGTGGTGCACCTGTGGGTGACAAAAATAAATACATGACTGTTAAGTGGCTAAATATTTTGGTATTCAGACCCTTAAGATGTGATTCTGAAGTTTGCCACATTTCAATACTCCATTTTTAGAAAGCACTTTCCAGAAAACTTGCACAATTCAATCACATATAATTTAATCACTTGCAGGTGGGAGGAAGAGAAAAAAGATGACGGAAAGAAATGGAACTTTCTGGAACACAAAGGGCCTGTGTTTGCTCCTCCATATGAACCTCTTCCACCAGATGTTAAGTTTAGCTATAATGGTAAGTTTCATTATTTTGAATAATTTTTAAAGTTGTATTAGTATCTATGTTTCTGTTTCTTTATTTTTTTACTTTTTATTAATTTGTAGGGAAAGAGATGAAACTGTCTGAAGACGCAGAAGAAATTGCAACTTTCTATGCTCGTATGTTAGATCATGATTATACAACCAAAGAAGCTTTTAACAAAAACTTTTTTAAGGATTGGCGTAAATCTATGACTGATGAAGAGAAGCAAATTATTACTGATCTTGCAAAGTGTAATTTCAAACAAATGCATGCCTATTTTGTAGCAAAATCAGAGGAACGGAAAGCTATGTCTAAGGAAGAGAAGAAGGTGTGTGATATATATCTTTATAAATATATATATATACATATTTTTAATTGTGTGAATTTCAGATCCCAGTTAATTTTCTTCGTATTAATGTTTTGCTGTTGTTACACTGTGGTGTTCATTTATTGCTTTTTTTTAGGCTCTTAAAGAGAAAAATGAAGAGGTTGTGCAAGAATTTGGATTTTGCATGATGGATGGTCACAAAGAGAAAATAGCAAATTTCAAAATTGAACCTCCTGGTCTCTTTAGAGGACGTGGTGAACATCCAAAAATGGGAACCTTGAAAAAGCGTGTCATGCCAGAAGATGTAATAATTAATTGCAGCAAAGACTCAAAAGTTCCAAAACCACCTGATGGCCATAAATGGAAAGAAGTTCGTCATGATCAATCTGTTAGTAGCAAGTAAACGTTGTTGTTGTTGTTTTCCCTATTTATTTATTGAAGAAAAAAACAAAAGCAAGATATGTCATTTTGTTTATAGGTTACGTGGTTGGCAAGTTGGATTGAAAATGTGCAGGGTCAAGTAAAATACATTATGTTGAACCCTTCATCCAAATTAAAGGGAGAGAAAGATTGGCAGAAATATGAAACTGCTCGTAAATTAGCGAAAGTTATTGACAAAATTCGAGACGATTATCGTGAAGACTGGCGATCCAAAGAGATGCGTATACGACAACGCGCTGTTGCAATGTATTTTATTGACAAGGTATAATTTTACAATATCATTTTTAATTTATGGAAATTATTGAAAACTTTATGATATAGTTTTTTAATATTTTTTACCTCCCTACAGCTTGCTCTCAGAGCTGGTAATGAAAAAGATGAAGATCAAGCAGATACTGTTGGTTGTTGCTCATTGCGTGTTGAACACATCCAGCTGCATGAAGAAAAAGATGGTATGAATAAAACAAGAATTTGTGTGTGTGTGTGTGTTTCTTCCCTTAGATAATTCTTTTTCTTTTCTTTTTTTTTTTTATTTTTTTTATTTATTTTATATATATATATATATATATATATATATATATATATATATATATATATATATATATATATATTGCAAAATTATATTGTTGCGTAACATGCTCCTAATATTAAAATGTATACTTTGTGTTCATTTGCACCATAATTCTATAATTTGTTCATAAATTAAACTCGGAGCGGATTTTCCCAGTTGCTAGCGAGATATTTGTAATTAATGTTCCTAACATTGATTTTCTCTTGTTTCATTTAGGTAAGGAGTATGTGGTTGTGTTCGATTTCCTAGGAAAAGATTCAATTCGCTATTACAATGAGGTGGCTGTTGAGAAGAGAGTTTTCAAAAATCTTCAGATTTTTATGCAAAATAAATCAACAGGAGACGATCTCTTTGACAGGCTTAATGTAAGTGACGTTTGTGTAAGCAGCAGTAATGATAGGTAGATCAATTAGGAAATATTTATTTTGGGAAAACTTGTGTGGGTTAGGTATTGCTGTTGTTCATTCACTTGCAATGTTCACAAGCAGAGTTTCCAGAGAAAATTTATCTGTGATATAGTTCGCAAATAGGTTTTTGAAAGATAAAAAGGAACCAAAAAAACAATCGGTATTATGGATTCCCAAATTCATATTTCTGCCCAAATCTTGACATTTATTTGCTACAACAATAAGTAACTGTCTCTGTACTGCTTATATGAGATAGTAGAACATGACCATGTCAATGTTATTTTTACCATTGGAAAATTTAAAAAATGACATTTGAATGTTGACAAATTGTAAATGAAATATAATGTTAAATGTTTTGTATGACATACGTAGTTTGTAGCATTGTTTGATGCGGCTTTAATATCTATGTTCTGTTATGTGAGTTTCTGTAATCGCTAATGATCAAAGCTGAGAAATAGCTACGACTTCAATAAATCAAGAAGAAGCAGAAAAAATTGTTTGTAAATCCAGACATGTTCCCGTTTGTTTTTCACACCTTGTTTCATTTTATACACATCGTAATTCTATGTTCAGTATTATAATGCATGTGCATCATAAACTTTTTGATGTGCTTTGGGTGGGGACATAATAAGATATTTATTTTTAACCATTATGTTGTCCCTTAGTCATTTTTAATTTAAAACACGAATAAGAAATTTAGAATATTAAAAGTATCTACAAGTTTGTATTTTGAATGTTTCAGACCTCTGTATTGAATAAGCATTTAAGTGAACTGATGGAAGGATTGACTGCTAAGGTTTTTCGAACATACAATGCTTCTATTACTCTACAGGAACAATTAAAAGCTCTTACAAAACCAGAATATTCTCTCCAAGAAAAGGTAATGTTTGAACTTCACTTATGAGAATTGCAAATGTCCTTTTTTTATTAATATAAATACGTACATATGTGTGTGTGTGCGTGCATGTATGTGTGTAATGTACATAACATTATTTCTAATTTGTTGTTGGTTCATCATAACTTTGTTTGACTATAGATCTTGGCATACAATCGTGCCAATAGAGCTGTAGCTATTCTCTGTAACCATCAGCGAGCTGTTCCAAAGACTCATGCTAAATCTATGGAGAATCTAAAACTGAAAATAGAAACAAAGAAAGATCAGTTGGAAGAAGCTGAGAAGCAATACAAAGAAGCTAAACGTGAATCAAAGCGAAGTGATTCAGCAAAAGTTCGAATGTAAATATTTGTCTATGTTCAAAAGTCATTAGTTTATAAGTTTCTTCATGTGTGAATTCTGTTATGAATAAATATTTGTTTTTGTTCAAATAATTAGGGAGGTTGATAAAAAGAAAAAAGCTCTTGATAGGATTAGAGATCAGTTGCAAAAATTGGAAGTGCAAGCTACTGATCGTGAAGAAAATAAAGAAATTGCTCTTGGAACATCAAAACTGAATTATTTGGATCCTCGAATTTCAGTTGCATGGTGAGTAGCCAAAAATGTGTATTTTAAAACACAACATATTTAATTTTTGGAATCTCTTTATACTATATTGTGTGTTTACGTTAAATATTATTTGCACAAAAATGCTGCTGAAGAAAACCACACAATGGTTTTCCCAAAAGTAGCACATACACTTAGGATCAAATAAAATACTTTCATAAAACATTGCACTATGTTAAATAATTAACGAAAACAATGCAACATGTGAATCGCAAACATTTGCTGGCTGCCAAGAGATGAGCTGTATGAGAATAGGTGGCATTATACAATCAAAAATTTTCATACATAGTGAAAATCATAAAAATGCAATGGAGTTCAAATTCAGGTCTCAATAATTCATAAATGTGCCTATACCATGAGAAGTGGGTCAATATGTATGCAGTGCATTGCAATGTTTTAAACTGTTCTTTCCTTGGGCCACAGGGTAGAGGAAATTGGGCAATGCTTCTCCCATTTGTCATACTGCAATCTAGAGTTGAGACCCTAGGCCCGCTTTTAGTTGCATATTTGTATGCTCTTTGATTCTAGTGTTAAGTTTTCTTTTAATGGTCCCGTGTAATGCCAATTTTACTTGTCATTTTTTCATTGTTTTTCTGTACAGAGAATGGCTGTAAAAGGAATGTTTGTTTTTGGTACAGAAACTGAATAAATGATACCTAGAATTTTATATGGTCATATAGTTTGCTGCTCATAATCATGATGAAAATATTTCTTTTAGATGCTGCAAAAAGTGTTAAATCATAAGCTAAACTTCACATCTGTGATTACAGTAGTTAGGTTATTTTAGAAGGCGGTCTCCTAGCCAGAAAAGACCGTTGGGGACAGAGGAGGGTAAAAGAGCTATGAAAATTATCAAAAATCCCCAAAATCTCAATGTGAACTGAGGTCTATGTCTCTACGAGGCCTGGAAACGTCTAATTTTATCACGGCGTCCCTACTGCTCTATGGGACATTCGACCACAAAGCTGCCAGTCCCACCCCACCAGGGAGAGGGTGCTTTTTCTCTGATTAGCCCTCATCACTTGGCTGACAGGTGATGCTGAACCCCGTGTGCTAACCACCTCCGCTCATTTTGCCCTGAGGAATTTCACGAATGGCATTTGGAACGTTGGCTGGCCTAGGACACGGTCTCCTTGGACAGCCAAGAAGCTAGAAAGTGTGCTTTAACTAAGCCAAACTGCGTAGACAGCAATTGCTTTATTTTGTTGTAGTGGATGGAATTGAATTGAAAATTGAATTTGCTCTTATTTTACGTGCGAGGCACTTCGGGCCATCAGGCCCGCTCTTTCCGTGCTGCACCACGCAAATTCGCTACGCTCCTTTCACAACTAGGAGAGAAAAGGAGGCTATTTCTTGGGCGAGAAACAGGCGATTTTAATTTTAGCTCCAGAGGCGTCATTTAGGCTGAGGAATCTTTTAACATGCAATAAATCTACGCAACATGCGGGACAGCCGGCTTTACTTCCTGGATGTGCATAAGAGTATTCTTTTAAAATACTTAGGGTGTTGTTTTATATTTATAATAGTAGACTGTAAGGCGTTTGGTTAATAATTGTTGAAGGTCTTAATGATAATATAGGTGTTAGTTATTATTTCAATCTTGGAATACGGTTTAGAAACAATGTTACCAACATTTTGCATAATAGGCTGACCAAAAGCAAAACCTCAAAATTGTTCCAAGCGCTTCCGTAATTCAGTAATCTTTGCAAAGAAAGGTTGAAAAATTGGTTCAACGTGTTGGTGAATCATTTACACATTCATTCACAGAAAATGTTATGGATTATTACAAACCTTCATATGTGTGAATAGAAATTGCGTCTGAAAGTAGGATTAAAAGTGATATAAAAGAAGAACAATTATTGTTGATGAGTTGATGATTTTACTAATTAATCTGATATTTTTTTAACATGTCCCAAGCTAGGGGCAGTGATTTATGATGGTTTTGATATTAACTAAATTTAATTATGTTTGCCCGGTTAATATTACATTTATTACAATATTGTTTAATATGAATTATTTCAAACATTCATTGATTTTATAAACCTGGTTTGACTTTTAACACCTTTTGGTTATATAAAGACGTTAAATCTGTACCGATCGCAGATTTCCTGGAAAGTTATGCTGTTTATCCTGTTGTTTATAAAAGATTGATGGCCAGTGTACTAAATTATAGCCTTTTAACTTGATAATCAAGAATTGTCGTTTATACTTGCAGATCTATCTTGATTTTACTATTGGGTCTTGCAGCTCATTAATGATTTAATCTTTAATTTAGTCATAAATTTCTCTGTATTAAATGTTCCGGAAGGCTTCTAATGTAATCTTGTATAAATGTTTGCAAATATCTTCCATTACTGCGTCTTCAAGAGGTTTTCGCCCAAAGATGCCATCGAGGGATGTCCTCACGATGCTATCGACGAAATTCTGGCAGCGGAGAATATTTATTTATTTATTTATATACTATATAATTACAGGCAAATCGCCCAATTATTAAATATCTCATTTACATTACAGTATTATTTATTATCATTTAGTAAACAGTTTTTATAAGTTTATTTAAATCTGATAAGTTGTGAACAACATAAAAGTTAATGTGTTACAGTTGCACTTCTACACATTTTTCCATAATGGCCGCCATAATAGTTACAAGGTTGATTCCTCGCAAAAAGGAATATTAAATAACATGCTGTTTGTAGAACGCAGATCACGCACTGGATTAGCACAGGAATATTTGTAATGTTCCCCGAAAATCTTAACTGTTTGATAATAATACACTAATACTATCTCTTCAATTAATGCAGTCCAAGAAGGTGACTTTCCCTTCCTGCGCCTTGGATGAAGCGCCTACTTGCGACTGCTGATAATTTTGCTTAACTAAATGTAGCCCAGTTACGAATCTCTTCTACATTAATTCCCCTTGTACAAAGTCTGTTTGACATGAATCCCCGAAGTCATAAATTACAATGCATGATAAGAATGATATCCTCAAATTACAAATTATGTTCACAAACAAATCACACTATTAACATAAGTTTCTTGTTTCCTAACATCAATTTTTATCCTAAGTCAGCAAAATTATTACTGACCTGCTCTGCCACCAATGATTTCCCAACCAAATTGATCCAGCAATTCTCGAGTTGCAGCAGCAGTGTGCGGGTGGGTATTATTGTGAAGAAGCACAACTCTTCTCGAAAGCTGTCCTTGCCTCTTGTTTTGGATGGCTCGCCATAGTTTTCGCAAAGTCTCACAATAACAATTTGCATTATAGTGCCTTTTGGCATGAAATCCAGCAAACAAACACCTTTGCATTCCCAAAATACAGTAGCCATGACTTCTTGTGTTGAGAGTGTCTGTTTGAATTTTCTCGGTTTCTTGGGTGATGAGGGAAGATGGCACTCACGTGATAGGCGCTTGAACTCTGGAGTGTTGTGAGACACCCAGGTCTCATCACCAGTCACAATTTGATCAAGAAAGGCATCTCCATCTGTGTGATATCGCTTCAAGAATGTCAATGCTGTGGCCATTCTCTGAGTTTTGTGTTGGTCACTCAGTTGCCGTGAACCCATCATGTACAGATTTTGTGGTAGCAAAGATGTTGCTATGCAATTTCACCAAGCAAAGAATGAGAAATGTCAGGAAAGGCAATATGTAATTTACCGAGTGATGTGCGCCTCTCTTGCAATACTCAATCATTCACTTTAGTCTTCCGGTATTCTGTGATGAGTGGTGGGCGTCCGGGTTGAGTTTCATCGTGGACATTTGTTCGACCATTGTTGAAAATTTCGCACCATTTTTTCACATTTCTTTCATTCAACACAGTATCACCATACACTTCTTTCAATTGCCGGTAAATTTCTACAGGTTTCAAATGTTGGGCATTCAAATATCGAATCACACTCCTCACCTTACAGTCGGCGGGACTATCATTCACGTGGTTCATTTTGAAGTGACACAAAATGCACAATGGCGACTTGTTGCAAACAGTACTCACAATATTGAGAACATGTGTGAAGGAAGCCAGTTGACCTTCAAACGAGGAAGGGGAGTCAGCTGTGTGGCGGGTATGTGCAAACTGTCGTTATTTCCTGGATTCCCCTCGTATTATGAGCATGTCTTTTTGAAACTGCTCTACACGATCTGTCACACATTTCCGAGCCAAAAAATAACATATCTGTAGATGAAGATTTGTATTTAGTATCAGAAAGCTCTTGCTTTGATTCAGTATCATGCTGATGCTGTCGTCTTCAACACTGGTCACAATCACAATACAATTCATGACCTTTCTCCAAATGAAACGGTTCTTGAAGAAAATACTGAATTTCACTCATATGAATTCTTTTTCTGAACATTATACACAAATTATTGATTAGGTCAAATTGTAACAATTTTAGAACAGCAGGCATGCAGCATAATGTTTACGACACTAAACACTCCCCTGACTAGAGTCTTACAGAAACTGAATATTGCATACAACAAAACAGTGGATGTAGGAATACATCACTCAAGATATCTGCAAGGAATACCACAAACGCAGAAGTCTTTGCCAACAATGAGATGACAGCAAATTCAAAACGTCTGCCAGTGTTATAAAATTTAAACAAGCCACCTGCTCGAAGTTAACTATAAATTTTGAATAAGGTCATGTAGAATTTTTCCAAAATCTGAGTACTTTTCGAGTAATTTTGCGAGAAAGTACATGCTCCTTTAGCACCACTAGTTAAAAATTGCAGGTATTCTGTGTACTGTGATGAAAGACCAAAATATCACTTTCAAATAAAACGTACATCAAGTTAGCAGAAAGATTAAGCAAAGTAATTTCACATTATGAACAAAAAAAAATATTTGACAACTGCTTGCTTTTCAAAATACAAACTCTTTCCTCCGTCCTCTCCCCTTCTCGTCCTCTCTCTCCTCTCTCTCTCTCTCTCTCTCTCTCTTCTCTTTCTCTTTCTCTCTTTCTTTTTCTCTTTCCTTTTCTCTCTTTCTTTCCTCTTTTCTTTTTCTCCTCTTTCTTTTTCTCTCTTTCTTTTTCCTCTTTCTTTTTCTTCTTCTTTTTCTCTTCTTTCTTTCTCTCTCTCGTTCCTCTCTCTTCTTTCTCTTTCTTTCTCTCTCTCTTTCTCTCTCTCTTTCTCTCTCCTCTGCTTTCTCTCTCTCTTCTCTTCTCGCTCTTCTTTCGTTCATCTCTCTCTCTCTCTCTTGCCTCTCTTCTTTCTCTCGTCTCTCTCTTCCTCTTTCTCTCTCTTTCTCTTCTCTTCTTTTCTCTCTCTCTCTTTCTTTCTCTCTCTTTCTCTCTCTTTCTCTCTCTCGCATTCACCCAAGAGCCACTGCGTAATGTGTTTTTAATTGTGCAAAGATGAGCTCGAAAAGCGAGGTTTTAGACTCTTTAAGGCACAGAATGTGTCATGCATACCATGCGTACAAAATTGAGTCTGTATAAGGAAATTAATGTTTGTTTCCTATTGGGAGTAATAAACTGAAAATGACTTATGTTTATTTTTACCCAAGAGAAGGAAATATTTTTAAATGCATTTTAAAATGTTAGTAAATAATTCCAAAGTGGAAAAAAGAACACTTGGTAGATGTTAATTTTTTCACAATTCATGCCCATGTACATGTATCATAAATATCCCTAATAATAGGTACAGTCCTAAACATCAACTGTCTTAAGATCAACTGACTAGTTTTTGTTTAAAAAATTAAGCGACTTCCTCAGTTAACAGGGCACATCCATACGGAAACAATTGTGGTCACAATTTTACTGGAGTCTCTTTGAATTGTCTATGAAAGCTCTTGCAACACACATGTGGCTAGAGGAGTAAGCTTCTGCTAGCTTGCGCAAAGAAATGTACAACATACAGAAATACTAATTACATTTTTGATTTTCAGGTGTAAGAAGAATGATATTCCAATTGAAAAGATTTACAACAAGACTCAACGTGACAAATTTCGTTGGGCTATTGATATGGCTGGTCCTGACTACATATTTTAACATCAATTTAGTTAGTATAAAGTTCCTTTGTACATTAAAAATACAAATGGAAAATTTTTTTCTTGTATGGCCACTGTTTAAAGATTATTGATATACATGTGGTTGGAGTAGATGAATGTGTACATATAATGAAAAGAGTGTGTATGAATGAATTCAGAAGATTTTTATTGAGTGCCCAGATTGATTTTAATTGCCCAAAGTGGTGTGGAGAATGATGTTGAAGAATCTTTGGCTTTTGAAGCTCGAATATTGTTGTATATATCCACAATAATTACATATAAATATATACATAATGGAATTTGAAAATGTGAACCAAACGTAATTTTATGATCATTTTTCCACAATATAAATTGAGGCATTATTTTGATGTAGGTAATCACTTTGTTTTAATTTAATGTTAACATACCCTTATTGCACTGGCATTTCTCCATTATGAAATTGTTCATATAGCCAAAAATTTTCATGAAAATTAATGAAATATTTTGAAAATAATAGTTGTAATAAATTGTTAGCTATACAAAACATTCCTCATTATTCAATTTTCCACATTTGCAGAAAGCATTTACATGAATGCTTACACCTGCACAGATGTAATTGTTTTTACTACTACAAGGTATTGGAGGAATGTATGTAGTGTAGAAATAATTAATTAGTTATGCTGTTTTGATAACTAATATATTATTAGTTAGGTTAAGGTTTGTAAAGGAATTTTGTAAATGTTGAGAGAACTTCTAGAAAAGTCTTCTAAAATAAGCAAAACTAATTCATTATTTCTAATATTCTCTCAAATGAAATTGAGTTTCGTTAATACTTAATGGTTGCTTATTTTAAAAAAAAGTTGTTTGGTTTGGTTTGTTCTTTAATTTCCCCTCCCCAATTTTGCAATTGATTTTTACTATTCCAGTGGTAAACCTAATCACTGAAACTACTATGTGCAATTTAAAATAATTACTACTGAGAATTGGGTCAGTTTGTTTTTAATTTTGTCTTTGTTTTGAACATTACAAACGTTTTCCAATGTGTTGAAAGGTATTAATGTATAACTGAACTGTCAAAATATATTATCTCCTGATGAGTGTTGCATTGTTGCTGTCAGTGCAGTGCTTGGGTTGTGCAATCCTTCATTAAGGAAAACCAATGTGGTAGAGGGTATGTGAACAGATTGCATGTACAATATTCCCTTAATGTATTTATGTACTCTGTAGGTGGAATTAGCAATGAATGTGTAGCATTGTGTGCTGACTATTCCAGTGGTACAAGTTTTGCCAATGTGAATATGCCAATTATCAATACAATATAGTTTTACAATCATGTCTAAGTACTAATGTTGCTTATTGAGATTTGATTTCTTTCTGAGAATCAACTCTTCTGGTAAGTTATTATTTATAGAAGAAAAAAAGCACTTGATGTAGTTCATTATTTTTGTATAGATGCTTAATTTATAATAATTGTGAGGGAATGACTTGGTAATTGTATTAGTAGGACACAATTGCACTTTCAAGAAGTAATGTAACTAGAGTTATTTATTATACACTCATTAATTTTAATAAATTTTCTGACAAAAGTTTTTATCAGTAAAAAAGAATATTATTTCACTAGCCCTTCCCATCTTCAGTAATTTGTTTAATTCATAATACTGCTGGCATGGTTATTCTTGTGAATTTTGGTAGATAAAGAGGGATAGTTAAAGATTCTCTAGTTTTGCTTAACCTTACCCTTTGCATAGAGAATGCAAATTCTCACACGGCAGCTTTGTGAAACCCGTTTTGTTTATTTTAATGAGTTTTCTTCAGTTTACCACACTGCTGATGGCCTTTGTATTTCAGTAAAACCTCAGAATGAAAACTGCCATCCCGTTAAAAAAATACAAAACGGAACGATTTTGTGCGTAAAATGACCTCTAAGCCGGAAACCTGTCTAGCGCTGAAACGGAATGGCTTTTGTAGAACGAAAAGCGATTTTTATCTGGCCAAGAAGGAAACCTTTTTAAATATCCGTCGCTATTATCTTTGGAATGCCACAGTGAGAAAGGTCACTTCCTGAAACAAATAGTGAACGACGAGTATTTCCTTGGAATCTTTTCCGCGCCTGCTTCGCTGCGACTTTCTCATACTTCGCCGCTATTACTCCGAATTCGCAGTGTGCATTGCGATCAATTCGTTAATCTGCGCACCGCGATCATTTCTCAATATTCATTTCCCTCAGCCGACAATCGAATTCAGTTGTCTGATTTGTTATCCTACGTTTTGTCCTTCTATATTTTCCCTGTGCTGTTGATATTTTTCAATCCCTTCAATATTTTCATTAATTCTGCTTTTTTTACATTCTTGGCTATCCCGGATGAGCCGCGTCTCTGTCAATTGGGCTGACGTTTCGGCCATCTTGCTGTAGTCTCTTCTGAGCTATATTGCTTATTTTTTTTATTACTTTAACACATTATATCAACAATTTTGTACTTAAATCATTGAATTTGTACTATGAAGAAAGAGTAGAAATCGGGATCGCACATTGGGATAAAATGCTTAAAACCTGGCCAAAATAAAAATGTTTTTAGTTGAGAATATTTAAATTTAAGGTTGGCTCTACTTGGGACTTTTAAGTCCCATGGGGAAGAATGACGGGAACGTTCAAATCAAAGCTGTATTTCAGGTGGAACGTAGGGCTCGGTAGTGTTTACGGCGTCACCCTAGCCGTACGGAAATTTTAGTGTAGTTATATCCAAATATTTTTGTTCTGTGAAAATTCTTCAGAATTTCAAATGGAGTATGTTACTGAAGGTATGTACTTCATTATAAGCTATTTATTATTTTTTTAATGAATACTCGTGCCGGTAAATAAGCTTTAAAAAATTAATGAAAAAGTAGAGAAGTTACAAATACTTTCATTCTATTTTATTGATAATTATGTTACTTCATGATCATAAAATCCTGCGAATTGTTACAAATCAGATGAGTCGCGTTTATAGCGGTACCTGCAAAATCCCGTTTAAAGTACGGTCCTTGTCCACAAAAAGATATATAAATCGATATTAATATGATATAAAGGCCCCCACACTAAAAAATATTGGAGAAATACAACTTTGTTAGCAGAGTACACCACTCCACTTCCACTCAACTTATTTATTTACGTCAAAAACTGTTAGTGATGTGCTCTGGGAGAAGTCAATTTGAATTTACGTTTATGTCCAGAAGCAAACAAGGGGTCATCTCAGCATTTGCTCGAGGATCAGGGAAACTGGACGAAAACATGATCGAGATGTGGGTCATTGACCCAGAAGCTGAAGAGCAATACTTGTTGCAGGTTCTTAACAATTATACAATCCAAATAATATATAATACTTTAAATATCATTGTTAAAATTGATATTGATTTCCTTTTCGATGCTCGGTATAGCCTCTAATTGTATAGAAACACATTGTACAGAAGAAAATATTTACTTGCGACTTAAACTTTTGTATCGAATTTAATCGTTTAATGTCATCTGGCAAGGTGTAAAATAATGTAATTCACACCGTGAATTTTTGGTAGTGAGCTGTTGATACTGTTACCTCATAAATATGATTACTATGTCGAGTGTTGTAGTTACAGACAACAGCGTTTGCTGAAAATGTATTCCCGCCTTTAAGTCATTTTTGACAAAAACAGATGATTCTTAAATCAAGACACAATGTAATGGTAAAAAAATTAGATTAATAAATCGAGGCTTACAAGGTCACGTGGGTGGGATTTGCTTATTATTCGTTTATGTGATCTAAAAGTCTGGGAACTGTAAGATGTATTTCCCCACAATATTATGCCATATCTCTGGTGGAATGAACATTCGCGAAATATACACAACGAACAGTGTGGAGGCTGACTGAATTTGAAAGAATTCTGGAAGCGTTGCATAAAGAACTTAATTTAAGAGTTCAATTCATTTAAATGGATCTTTCATTTAAGGTTTGACTGAATTGAAAGACCTAAACATTTTGTTACCTTCACATCAGTCAATGGGTGGTATGATTAAAAGTAAGCAATTACTCTTTGCTCCGGGTTTAGGAGATCCTTCTCAGTTTCGTATGAATAAAGTGGATGAGCAATTGCTCTGCCTCTGAGCACTTGCTCCATCTCTGAGCGTACTCTCAACTGGTGAGAAAATGCTCAGAATTTAGTATGAATAAAGTTAAGCGTTTACTCTCTAGTGTGAGCATTTGCTCCAAAACTTCGGAGGGACCTTGGTACCAGACTCACGTTTGAAAAGTAAGGGTTAATTGGGGTGGTTTTTTACATTGTGGCGATATGCTGATGCAGCGGCCTAAAAAAACTACTAGACAAGGCGAAATTCCCGTGATGTAGACTATTAGAATCTTTGCCGATTCTAAAAGGACAATATATGGTTGGTACGATTTTTATCGGCGTGTGCTTTCAGGAGCGTTTTCATATTGCATATCTTCTATGTTAATTGGCCATCTCTCTTTTCTATTTGGAATTTTTCTGGGTGATGTTTTGTTTCGATCACGGCGTACCTCCGGAAGCTGGCTCTTTTCAAAAATAATTTTATCTTCGCGTAGCATTTCGTCAAAAACTAGCTGGGCCTCTGGCGCCTGTTTTTCGTTACTGCTACTCATATTCGAATTTAAAGAACGAGACAAAAAAAAAAACTTTATTCTGCACAAATGTGCGCAACGCGCGTAACGTATGTAACTTCTTTGTTACTCAAGAAACCAATTTTTAAAACTCTTAGCCTGCTTGAACAAGCTATCACTTGTTCACAACGAGCAAATGCTCGCGAGACATGAGTAAGTTCTTCGGAGACATACGAAGTTCTTATTCATATGAAATGGAGCTTCTGCTCAGTGCCGCGGAGTAGACTCACTTTGCTCCGAAGCAAGTGCTCATTTTTATTCATATGAACCATGGCACACCGTTCATTTTCAGTGAAGCGCCGAGCTGTTTATTTGAAATGGAAAAGTGCATTGAAAGTTTTCTTTTCGTTTACTATTAATTTGTTATTATTGAACCAATTTGAAATAGCTGATAGTGTACTATTTACGATTTCTTTATGGCCTAAAATCGATCCTTGGGGGACTCCACATGCAATTGGCAAAGAATCAGAAAGGTGTGTACATAATGCTCCATTATTCCAGTGACGTATTTCTTCTCGCTGAGATCGTTGTTTAAGGTACAAACCAATGTAGAGCAATACCACGAATTCATACGAAGGTAATTTTGAGAGTAAAATGTTATGATAAATGACGTCAAAATCTTTTGAAAGATCTAAAAATATTCCAATAGGTGCTTCGTTTTGATCTATGGATGAATAATATCTTTAAGAAAAGAAAATAGGGCTGTTTCCGTAGAGAGTTAACGGGTGTATGATGCGGGCGCGCAAACCTGTAACAATCGATCCGGAAATTCATGTAAATTGGCTGAATATTTAATTTTTAGTCTACCGATTATTTTGAGAAGTTCATAGGAAGTTTCGGAAACAAACATCGTGCGTAAACTTTTTAGGGAAACGTCTGATGCAGAATTTTGTGGCTGAAGACCCTTAATGAAATCAGCATCAATTCTCGAAAAGTATTGATTATAGAGACTAGCCACTGTTGCCGGATCGTTCACATTTCTATCGTTATCTTTTAAAACAACATTCTCTACAAGGTTTCTAGTTGATTTGGTCGAATTTTTTACTATATTCCACTTTGCTTTTGTTTTATTATTTGAGTTCAAAATATACTGGTAATGTTTCATGATTTTAGCCTGCCGTATGACTTTTCTTAAGGCTAAATGTACCGACACTAGTTCAATTTGTCGCCATCACGTAGCAGCACCAAAATAAGCCAAAATTACTTTACTTATAACGTCTGAACAAGTCCGATTACCAACCAGTGAACGACATAGAATTTGTATTTAATATAAAATTTACGCCAAGAAGCCTCTTTGAAAAAAATTGAAAAATGAGTTTTGGAATAGTTTTGGGAAGAAATTAATTCATTCCGTAAGAGATAAGAGGGACGGGCTGGGAGCGAAGCAGGCAAGCAGGCGGTTCTCTTGTGGCCCGACTGAGATTTGTCAGATAATGCTTTCGCTATTTTCCGCATCACAACATTGGTTTTACATTCTTGTATACGTACCTATATACTGAGTAATATATGTAGTATAGAGAAAGTTATATAATGATGCGGAAAATCGATTTTGAGATTTCAACTGAATATTGTGTTAGGACGGCGGCGATTCGCCAAAATTAAAATTTTTAGATCGGTAAGTAGAAAGACAAAAGAATGTTATTACATAAAAATCCTGTTTATACTCATAAATTTCCTCGAAAATTAAAAAGTATTGTGAGAAATTGAGCTCACAGTCCTGCATTTTCAGATATACTCAAACGTAAGTTTCTTAAATTTTTCAACGTGTGTGACGGTATTGTATATTTCTATAGTATTCTTAAAGTCATGTTTCGGTTCTCTCATTAGGGATACGAAAAATTGAAGGAAAAAAAATTATCTATAGGTGGGAAGAGTGTGGAGTGAAACTGAAAATATACTCGTAGTCCATAGCAAAAAACGAACTAGTTCGAGAAAGTGTACCATTCTGTATCATCACTAGTTTATTTTATT